TTTATATTTATTTACTTTATTTATTTATTCAACAGTTTATGTACACACATATTTCGATAGGTGTGATATATTGTGTCCATTATAATGAAAGAGATCTAAGATTACACACTTTTAATTTTATACCACAATAACTTTATTCTACACTTGTTATAAAAACTCACAAATAATAATCACAAAGAAAAAGGTCTAAGATCACACACCATTAATTTTATACCACAATAACTTTATTCTACACTTGTTATAAAAACTCACAAATAATAATCACAAAGAAAAAGGTCTAAAATCACACACTTTTAATTTTATACCACAATAACTTTATTCTACACTTCTTTTTATAAAAACTCACACATAATACTCATAAAGTTTTACCAGGAAAATAGAACTACACCGACGAGCGCAGGAACTACTGATAGATAATATAGCGAACTGAAGTGAGTCTATTCCCGCGTTCATACAATAAGGAAAACCTAATAAGTAATCACGTTTTAGGTGTGCCCTGATTGGTCGACAATTTGATTGGTCAATACTTCACTAAACAATAACTTTTTATTGAACTCATTAAGTTACTTAAGTAATTTCAATTACCAGAATTAATAATCAAATCGACAATTATTTATTCTACGATTTAAAACAATATTTGAGTTAAAAGTTGATAATCGAATAAATAGTTGTTTTAATAGGAATTAGTTGTCAATAAAGAGATTTGTAAACCAGAGATATAAAGAAGTTATAAAGAACTAGCTAGTTACATGTTATGTTTCTGATAAATTGCCGTTATTAAATTGTAAAATAAATATAAAGTGACGTCAGGGTGGTCTGCTATTTCCTCCGGACCCATACTCGACTTTAATTAGACGTGGGTAATCAGGCAAGGAGAATTAAACGACGTAATTCACACTAAATATAATTAGGGTATTACAACAAAAAATGTTAGAGACACTGATTCGTTAAACACTCCACAAAGAACGTAATGCTTATTTGCGATGTGAACAGATTGCCGTCTCGATGCGAACTGCCTAGTAGTCCCTCCTCCTTCTCACACTAGCCCTTGGTGTTGCGTCAGAGTGAATGACAACGGATTACTTCGATAGATGGCGTTTTGTATATCCGGTTGACGTTTACTCCTAAATAATCTTCGAAATAATCAAACGCGCCGTCACGGCCGGACTGACATTAGCACGTCCTCGTGCTGCTTTTGGTCTAGAGTTATTCTGTAACAATAGGAAAATAAAACCCGCTGGGATTATCACTTTCTTTCCCTCGTCCTATCCTGAGATGAATAGGTAGACTGTCCCTATCTTTGGGCAGTTAGGAACCCACGCACATACACGCAAGGCTATTACGTTTGACCTCATGCAAACTAACACTGGCTAAGGCGTCCTTTCGACCAACCATCATTCTATGATGACTTGAACCGGACAACCTAGTTCTTGACTAGCTGGCTCACGAAGCGTCATCGTCCCTTCGACCAGTCATCATCTCGTATTACAACGTGGACCGGACAACTGGCTCTCTATCCGTCATCTCATACCGACAACACCTAACTCAGAGTGACAGCGTCCCTTCGACCAGTCATCATCTCATGTGACAACATGGACCGGACAACTGGCTCTATGCACGTCATCTCATATGACAACACCTCAGACAGTTTAATAGTAGCAATTAACTCTCATAAATGACATTACTTACTTTAAAGTTCCCCGCGTTCTGATACTGAGAGTGTTACTGAGCTTGCAGTTTCAGTATAACCGCTGTACATCGCTACTGTGTCACTATCCTCATCTGATGTTAGTGTTCTATCGATGTGGCTCTGCCCCGGCGTCACGAGCTCCTCCTCATCATTATTAATTAACGAGGTAGCTATCTCTACTAGACCGTCATAGCCCCAGGGTACTAAACGAAGATTTTCGTGAGCATATTTGTAAGTCCTCTTAGACCCATCAGTGTTTTTCAGCTTATACCTATCATTTTCTAACACCTTAGTAATTAAAAATGGACCTTTGAATTTTTTGTGAAGTTTTATCTGATTGCGCTCGTTGTTTCTTATAAAAACATACTCGCCTATAGGGAAAGGCTTCACGATTGCCTTCAACATTGATGGGGCTAAGAATCTGCGAGTCACACTTCACTACATTATCATCTCCAATACCCGCGAGATATTCAAGTTCGTGACGTATCGTACCCGGTAGCCTACTGGCCACGTCGGAAGTCACTAATGAACAGGCGGAACCACTGTCAAAAAGAAAAGAAACGAGCTCACCCGTGGACGTAGTAAAGGTGCTAATTGCCGATTTCCGCTCGCAGCGGTTTCTCGTTGCTCCTTTTGCAGTATGCACACGCTAATGCGACGTGCCCTTGTTGACCACAAACGTAACAAGTAACAGGACGCGGATGGACTTGCATCTCCACGTGCTGCTCAACCGTCTTCGTAGTTGCTCTAGTAACAGGCTCTTCGCGGCCTTTTCGACAGTCCAAGGCTCGATTACCTGACACACCACACCGATGACACGTTCCAGGAAAGCGTAGTTCATTGTAGCAGCTTCTTTTCACTTCCGTCTCGTTAATCTCTTGTCCTTTGTATTTTCGATTTAATGAAATAGCGTTGAGAACCCATAACAACAGAGCTCTGGCAGATATATTACAAGATTGCAACTCTCGTCGTATAATACCATCTTTTTGACATAGCACAGAAGCTACAAACCCTGTGACGACATCTACGTACATTTCGGTGCGAGGGATACGCTCTATTATCTCCCAGACACGCGTCGCAGCTTCACTTGCGGTTTCTTTTGTACCGAGTTGGAATCTTAATATCTCGTCGAAGTAGTCTTGCGGTAGCATCGGTTTACCAAATTTTTCTAGGAGTAATTACTTTATTTGCGTCTATGTTAACTGTGAAGTTTGCAATTTGATCAAACACGTAGCTGCCCATCCCCTCAGAGCGTGTGTAAGCGCTAGCAAAATTTCCGCACCATCTAGTTTCCTACTATTCACTATTATTTCCGCTATCCTGCACCCAACGTAATTCGTAATTCATACTAAATATAATAAAAATTGTTAGAGACACCGATTCGTTAAACACTCCACCAAGGACGTAACGCTTATTTGCGATGTGAACAGATTGCCGTCTCGATGCGAACTGACTAGTCCTCCCTCCTCCTTCTCAGCTTCTCACACTAGCCCTTGGTGTTGCGTCAGAGTGAATGACAAGGGATTACTTCGATAGATGGCGTTTTGTATATCCAGTTGACGTTCTCTCCTAAATAATCTTCGAAATAATCAAACGCGCCGTCAAATAATTATACACTGTTGATTATTATAATTTATAACAATTAAAAGACAATGCAAAGTTTAGGCTTCGTCAACAGAAGATGTCCTTGCGGCGATATATATTAAAACAAAAAATATAATTCAATATATATTTTTTTAACATAGACACCGTCTTAGCATCTCGAATCCTAAAGGGAAGTGAATTCCACAATCGTACTGAGTTAACAGTAAAAGAATTAAAAACCTTTAAAAATCTATAGCAGATCAAGGACCCCTTGATATAATTTGCTACGGGCCCCGCGCTTGTTTAATTCGGCACTGATGACACACTGGACATGCTTACAGGAGTAAAGTGGTTTAGTACGCTGGATCTGGAAAGTGGCTACTGGCAAGTTAAAATGGACTCTTACGACAAGGAGAACCCTGCATTCTCGACAGGAAAGTGTCTGTGGCAATTTAAAGTTATGCCGTTTGGATTGTGCAATGCTCCGGCAACATTTGAAAGGTTGATGGAACTTGTACTTACCGGGCTAACTTGTCTGGTCTACTTAGATAACATGATCATCGTAGGCCGTATGTTTGACGAACACTTTCAAAACCTGGAACGCGTCCTCATGAAGTACGTTTTATACGTGGTAACGCTGCATATAGAATGGCACGGGCCGACAACGCACGAAAAAAAGAAACACACGCCTAAAGGGCACCACCGGCCAATCCAGAGTTCACTATTCAAACGACAAGTTAGCTTTTAGGGGTATGTAGTGTCGGAAGAAGGTATCTGCTAAAGTATGAATATTATTATATTCGCATTTTGACGATTTGACCAAAACTTTGACATTAGCAGAATTCGTTACAATAAGATTGCCGTAATTATAAAGAAAAAGAAGTACAAGACTCTCGAAACTGAGAAACCGCACTTAATGGTTTTGACAAGTTGGGATTGGATGTCAGTTTAATGCGGCGTACCAAGACTGGATTCTCTCTTGAGCATAAATTCCATTCGTAAGGTAGAATCTGTGTATGTACGTCTACAGTGATATCTTTTTCCAAAGCCTCCGAAACTGAAAAGTGGGGTTACTTTTTCGACTATACGGGTAATGTAAGACACGAGTAATGATAAAATTACTTACGCCTGAGTCTATCGATCGCACAGCGATGGCCATTAGGCAACTCCGTTCATTGAACATCTAAGTGAGCTTACTTCTTTCCGAAATGTACCATTGGAATTCAGCAACCGCCTTCATTGCTGGGGATTGAATTTTTTTCGAACTTGAACTTTGGGCAGTGTATTGTTGTTTCGATGAGATTGTGCATAAGAATTTCAGGACTTAATTTTTCCCTCCTTTTTTCGTCATCGGACCATCAGACGCTTAAAACATCATCGGCCTCATCACCACTTACCATCAGGCGGAATAGTAGTTGAGCACTGGCTTATAATAGTAAAAAGTACAAGAACTATTTTTCCGGATAGGCTGATGTCGGAGTACTTGTGAAGGGCTGTAATGGTGATGGTAATTATTTATATATGGCAAACGAAGACTCTGTATTAATTTTTATAGTTTTTAAAATGCCTATGGCAACAAAAAATGTATATGGCAACATCGTTATACTTTTTGAATGTCAAAGTTTGTTTCATTCTGTTCATGTCATGTCAATTGTCAATTTCATTTCCCGTTTGATAGTGGGCAGACTCAATAAGATTGTGATTGTTTATTAAATAAAGCGTTATGATGGCTGAAGACACGACAGCCGATGCGACACGACGGTTAAATGTTAAGAAACAGACACTAGACGATGCATATGCTGCGCCGGCAAATTTCTTAGAAATTGACGTGGTAAACCCAATAACAACGATGGGTGTAGGGAAAAAACGCTACACCGATTATGAGGTTCGCATGAGGGTAAGTAGCTGGGGGATCTTCTGAAGATAATGATATAATTGGATTAAAAATTTGCGTGGTATTGATACTGCGCTAAGCTCGTTTAGTGGGCGTCTCTACGGAACATTCAGAGTACCTAGTGTGATTCAATAATAATTATAGTAAGGTCTATTTCCTGTTCGCAGACCAATCTGCCCGTGTTCAAAGTTAAGGAGTCAAGTGTAAGGCGGCGGTACAGTGACTTTGAGTGGTTGAGGAATGAGTTAGAAAGAGATAGCAAGGTGAGTGGCCTAATGTAGTGATAATAATGTGAATTCGTCTGTTATCAATGACTCGAAACAAAAATAAAGCAGTTATGACTAATTGTTTTACGATTAACACTTTGTTCAGTTTTTTTGCCAGTGGCTTATGGTTAGTACAGACTTGCACATTTTACCTTTGTGTATCAAGTTGCAATATTGCATGTATAACTTATTAATATGCATATTAACTTGAATATTTAATTAATGTTATGTATGTATAAACAATTTACATGTACACTGTGGAATTACAACAGTTACTATGCAAGTGTGCTAAGTAATTGTATTAGTCTGCTCTATTAATAGGATAAGATGTACAAGTCTTGCTTTGTCAATAAGAAAATAAAATATGCAAAAATATTTATAGTGGAAATAAAAGAAAATGTGTTTCCATCTATTAATTTTATAACATTTGAATAATTGCAAGAACAACAAGTGTAGAAATAAGTTGTTTGTCAACTCTTAGTCAGAATTTGTATGTAAGATTCTTTCCCATAAGCTTGGAATGCATAGGATACATATGTACATACCCCCATTTTAAAAAATTCAATTTAGTACCTGTGTTTCTCTCTGTACATATAGCAGTTATATAGAGTTGTGTGGTCTATAGCCCCATGTTACACAATTTATTTCACTTACTATCTTATTGAAAGCTTTCCAAATTGCCTAATATGTCCAAAAAAAAAAAAAAAAATTTAGGAAGACACCTATAATATCACCTATAATTTCTTGTGAAATTTTCATCAGAAATTTTAGAGATGTGATAAATGACATTGAATTTCTCATGAAATATAATTAATACAGCATTATCATTGAACAGTTATTTTTTTTTAATCAGAAAAAAAAACAGCAGATTCATAAGCAGCACTTTTTTCCCAAAGTAACTTATACAATATGAATGCAGGTTTATAAAGGTTACAAGCTGTACAAACTATTTACAGAACTTAATTATGTAACACCTTGGAAGCGACCAACTGACTACAAGGGGTTATTATCAACCATGTATTCATTTATATTATTATTATAACCACCACAACCCAGTTGAAATGGAGAAATTGAAAACAGTTTTTCTTTAATAAAACATTTAAACTTGGTTGTAAAGAAAACTTGTAACATTTTCTGAGACATGGTTGTAGTATATTAATTAAATACATAAACTGCCTCATGAATGTGGTACTAGTTATTGTCTTATGGTATAAAGCATGCTAAGTTTGCAATTATTTTTACTTGGGATATATGGAACAACAACACAACTACTACTATTATCTAGATGTTGGTGCTGTTAGTCTATGCGACTCTTACAGCTCTGTCTCAGGGCTCGGATGAAGCTGTAAGAGTTGCATGGACTAACAACACAACTTGAGTGTTATTTTACTTTAATATTTTAGTATTTTTAATACTACTACTAACACTAGTATTTTTTTCCTGTATTGATTCAAAAAGCGAATAAAACCTTACATGTTTGTGCAAGATTATTTTATGCTATTTAATAGTTTTTTTTTTGTGATAGTAACTCTTCAACTCATTAATTATTGTTTATTATACTAATATTTGGTATATGATGTTGAACCTTTGTACATTTGTTTGTATATCTTAAGAAATAAAATAAAATAAAATGTTCACTTTTATGGTCAATGCATAAAGTAGTAAGGCTACAAATATTCATAAAAAATCATTGTTTAGTGTTTACTAGGCATGAGACCGATATATCAAATCATAACCAATAAAATTATGTTATAAAATATAATATCATATTGATAAATCTAAGTACATATGCATTATCACATATCCAACCAAAACTAATGTACGAAAACGAAACGCGTAACACAAACTGTGAAACGATCTGCCAACAGCAGCGAAAAAAAATTTTTTTGTTTATATTCGTTGGTTCTCTTTCTTGCAACGATACCATAAATAAGTATAGAAAGAGATGAAACGAATATGGATTTCATTGCGATGTTTTGGTAGTTATTACACAACTTTTACTTCATCTATAACTTTTTATTTATAATGAAATTTTATGGCTACTTGCTACAAGATTGCTAAAGAATCAAATCAAATCTGTTTATTTTGTGAAAAAAGGTTAATTTACTGATCTCAATATGTACATAATAAAATATAAGGTAAGTTCTCCATGTCCCGCCAGTAGGCATACAAAATGTAAAAATAATAAGTGCAACATTCATTATTAACATTAATTAGTTTTGCCTCTTTTGATGGTAGTTTCTAATTGAAATAATTAAATAATATATTAATAATTAGGAAAAATATAAGGATAATAAAAGTATAGTGTACATATAATAATTGTCATCATTGTGTCTTTATCTAGAAAAAAAAAGTCTATATATTATTGGGAGACCCATCCACACAGTCCTTACAGTCACTCTCCTCTCCCAAGGTATGCTACAAAACACGGTCTTGAGCCACCTGCATCCATCGACTTCCTGCTTGTCTTACCAGGCCGTCACTACATCTAGTGGGGGGTCGCCCTACACTTCGCCTACCGGTACGAGGCTGCCACTCGAGAACCTTTTTTCCCCAACAGTTGTCGGTTCTTCGAGCTATATGGCCGGCCCATTGCCATTTCAGCTTACTAATCCGTTGGGCTATGTCGGTCAATCTTGTTCTACTGCAGATATACTCATTTCGTCGTTTATCACACAGAGAAACCCCAAGCATAGCCCTCTTCATAGCTCGCTGAGCGACTTTGAGCGTCCTCATACGGCCAGCAGTGAAGGACTACATCTCAGTTCCATAGGTCATCACTGGCAACAAACACTGGTTTTACAATTTAGTTTTCAGGTTTTGAGGTATACCTGACGAAAAGGTGTGTGACGACACATCTCTCACCGAATACCAGCATGAAATAGTAGCTTAATGCTGTTGTGTTTCATATGGTGAGTGTAGAGAACCAGAGACGCTTTTTACTGGAAATGAGGTATTCCATGTTAGTCCTCACGGGTGACAACGCATCTGCATTTCGATTTGTAATCGAGGATAAATGTAGATGTCTATGGGCCGCAGCAACCACTTACCATCAGGTGGACGTGTGCTCGTTTGTCACCCTATCCTATAAAAAGAAATTGTATTAATGAATGAAAAACTCATAAATTGAACAGAAAAATTGTAATTTCATGACTTCTCATATTATCCAAAACGTTAGTGTTTTTATATTATGCATAAATCTGTCAATAGTTACAAACTATTACAGAGTAATAAAATATGTTTTCAACAAGAGTTATAAGCAATGTCTAAGTATCATAAAATGGTTGCAGATTGTCGTGCCACCTTTGCCTGGTAAAGCTTTGAAGCGACAATTGCCATTCCGTGGCGATGATGGCATTTTTGAAGAGGAATTTATTGAGGACCGTAGAAAAGGTATATACTTTGTTTTTATTTACTTCTGTCTGTTCTTTTTATTGATTGCATATTTTTAAGAGTTCACTCCTCTTTTCAAAGTTTGAATTCATTTAGTCCCAGAAACCATGTTTTGTTTTTGTTAAATATTGTCCTTGGTTCTTTTTGAAATCTTTCAGCAACTTCAATTCTTTTATGATCAGATAAAAGAATTGAAGTTGCTGAAATCTAATTAATTGAAGTCTAATTATTACATGCATCAGAATTACCGATTTAGTTTTTTTAATTGTTTGTTAGGATAGTTATTATGATTACCTGGATGGAAAGAGGCTTCTTTAGTCCTTAGTCAGCTGCAATCAACTTTAAACAAAGAAGTCTACACTGTGTTATCACTTTTGGACACAGCATGTAATAATACTATACTATTGTCAGACTTGCACCCTGCGGTTCAATAAAATGGTTCAATAAAATTTGACATTAGTATAGCTCTCTATATACTTCAGATCGTGCATTCACTGCTGCTTAGTGGTAGATATAAGAAAGTAGGGTGGTACATACCAAAACAGACTCCTGGCCAGAACAAGAGTCCTATCAAATAGCAGCTTATCATAATTCCCTTAAGTTTATTTATTGACTACAATCTAAGTATTCAATTAAACATATTTTATGATTTTTTGTTTAACAATTAATAAGCCAAAATTGAAAGCTAGTGCGAAATCTAGCGCTTTTTGTAACGCCGTTAGTGCTGAATAGATTTTTTGATCTGATAGCGCTGTCCATAAAGTTAGAATAATACCATTGTAAACTGATACCTTTCACGTTCCTGACGATTTGACGGCTGGTCTATCTTAACTTGGGTACATCAGCCCTGGGAACCAGTATGGCCCACAACCTTGGACTACACATCCACGAACAGTGGGTTTGTCCATTTATTTTATTTACTGGTGAAACTGGATATAAGATCTGTTTTTTGTTAAAGGCTTAAAGAAACAATTGCTTGTGGACTTAATAAAGAAATAAATAAATAATTTTAACAGCATAATCAAACCTCTTCTAAAATTAGTAGGTAGGTAGATAGACCTTAGATATAAGCAAGAGGTAGAAAGTGAAAGCAACAATTTAATTGGCACACCATTATTGTTTCGATTCCAGGTCTAGAAGTATTCATCAACAAGATTGCTGGCCACCCGTTGGCCCAGAATGAGAGGTGCCTTCACATGTTTCTGCAGGAGCCGACCATAGACAAGAACTACGTACCTGGCAAAATAAGAAACACATAACCGCTCCCCCTCCGCCGACTCGCCTCTAACATGGACTTTACCGCAATTCGTCATCCATTGCACATGTCACCATTGGAGTAAAGTAGAGAATGAAGTACTTGATACAGCAAAATATTACCTAAATTGAGGCTATTTTTAAAGATTGTAAGCCCTAATTGTATTGAGTTGGGTCTAAAAATTGCCATTTATTTGATTTTATTTTACTAACACATTAGTCTACTTTCAAAAGTTCCTTGGTTGTGAGATTTGGCATTCGCTGTCAAATTTCATACTTTACACTTTTTCCTGCGGAATTTCTCTCGTGACAAATTATTTTCGAGCAGCTTCAAATAACCGTAGCAACGATATTGGGCTGGCCCGTATCGATGTATGTCTTCTATACCGCTGGTGTAAACGTTCCGGTCAAAACAAACAAACAAACCTACATTTGGTTTTGAATATCACTGATATATTGCAGTTCTAGCTGTAGCGTATACTGAACTAGTCTATCAAAAAGGTAACTTTTGATATATGCAGTCATTAGTGTCCGACCGAAAGTCGAAGCCTAAGGCTTAAAAACTTTAAGAATTTAGTTCGAGATTGGCCAAAATTAATAATATAAATGATTTTAAAGCTTAGATATAAAAGATTTAGATTGATTGTATAATATAAAAAGGTAATTTTAATCACCTCTAGATGTTGATGTAGAGATGATACAAATTGCGTCGCTCGTTTAATTTCGGCGCTTGGTCGAAACTTTCCGCTTCAGTCAAAACTTGGCGCATTTCGGCCGAAGCTAAAGGAGTTTTTTTGGCCTAAGGTAGCTGAATCCGAAGCCGTAGCTTCAGTCGGACACTACCAGTCATATTTAAAAAAGAACATGAAATTGAAAATAATATGAACTTTCAAGCCAGGACATATTAAAATAAAAGAAGTTCAATATTTTTGGAAATCATGTACATATGGTACCTATTAAACTTTTTTGTTTTCTACCAGTGTTTTTAAATGGGAATTTTTTGTTTATAGCTGATGTTAAATGGTGATAAGTTCGCAAATAGCCAGACAGTTAAAATATATAATATAACTTAATAAATTTCTTTTTTAAACATCGGATTAAATGTTTTCTTTACATCTTTTAAAAATATCAAATCTTGATGTTAATATTACATACTCAATGCTATTAAAATTCTTTCCACGATACTCGATCGTCCAATTTCAAACGTTGGTCTAAACCGGAAACAAATCGTTTGAACTATAAGTTGTCCTTACTATACAAAACTTTAAATACTTTCAAATTTGATAGGTCATATCGGTTTGTACGATTTGGACGACTTGGTTCGACCGCCGATTGCCGCGAGAGTTCGGTCAAATAAATCAATTCGGGCGAAATTCTAAAAATCGGATACTTGAAGGCTTGGGCGATCCATGTGGAGCCGGCATAGTCAGAAGAATAGTAAAATATTGTAGAAATAAAATAGATGGTGGATCTATAGAGAGTTGTCGTAAAGTTCACCGTCCTTGAATGATAATACAGATAAATATATATGTAATGTCAAAAAAAAAAAATACAAACTGCTATTTAATTATTATCGGATGCAAGTTTTTAATCGAAATATTTTCACGCGGCACAGCATTCCACAGATAACGTAGTAAAAATGTCACTTCATTAAAAAATAGTCGTGGTGTTGAATACGATGTGTTTTGGAACAAAATTTTGTTATTGTAAAGTAGTTATTGATTAAAATTAAGCAATATTAATGAAGTCGTTGAATTATTTTAATTTTTAATATATTTATCTCGCACCATTGCGAAGTTAAAGGATTTTTTCGATTTGTATTGCCATTTTAAAATGGTTGTTTTTCGTTCGTATTAAAATACAACATAATATTCTGCGTATATAAATCTCATACACATATAATTTCGCTAATTATATAAGTTATATTTATTATGAATGATGATTATTGATTACTAAGGGTTTAGTTTTAAAGCTACACATTGGTTTGATTTTTTGACGCAATGTGTAGCACGAACTGTTGTCGGGAGTACTCTGAATACTTAGATATAGTTAGTTTTAGTTAAAATCATATTTCAAATATCATGAAGTTAACACGCAATAAGCTTCTGACGGTAATAAGTCTATGAGAAAATGAATTAAAGTCGTAATGTTAGGACAAAAAAAACATAAATATGATGTGGACGTCATAGTAAAAGCTTGATTTGGAACAAGGTCGTTGGTGTACAAATCTATCGGTGCACTTGTTAGAAGAGTTTAATGAAATTATGTTTGGTACAGGCAGTTTTATATGTTACACTGTATTATGTCGATCATAATAGGATAATAAATAAATTTGCTATCACTTCTGTGTGTTTGTTTTATTGTTCACTGTTGTTATTGTGGCGGCGCTGTCGTCGCGCCACAAGCGAAAATGCACCAAAGCTTACATCACGCTATCAAACTTTTTTTATAGAATAAGGGTGACAAACGAGCACACAGTCTACCTGATGGTAAGTGGATGCTGGTAATTGCTCCATCCTTCATGCGGGAAGGGGAGATCTCCCACCGGACAAGGTGTTTAAACTGGGGAGCGGCCAACGATCCCTGTGTTAGTAAAGAGTTGATCCATATAAAAGGTTACTGGGAACTCGAGAACTTCCTAGCAGGGCATCATAGGAAAGTCAAATTGCTACTTTGACTCCCAATATGTACGGCTAAAAATGAAGAGGTCTTGAGATATATGGATTTAAAAGATTTTTCAATGATCGCCCAGAATTTCATATTAAATTCTAAATAACAATAAAACCTCTTTTGTATGCTTTTTTTAAGTTTATTTATTTTCTTGAAACTTAAACCAAGCGAATACAATCCCAAAAAGTATTCACAGTAAATAATTATAAAGTTACAGGCTATATACGTCTCACTGCTGGGCACAGGCCTCCTCTCATTTCTGAGAGGATTTTAGGGCAAGGAAATGTCCGCCGCGCTGCCCCAGTGCGTGTTGTCTATCGTCGAACTTCATATGTCTTCGAAATATTTTTTTTCTTATTTCTCAGACATGCAGCTTTCCTCACGATGTTTTTCTTCGCCGCCGTGCACGTGGTAAATCAGCACTTAAAATTGCAATTAATAATTTCATTGGTGCCGGCGGGAATCGAACCCGGTTAGCTCGCGTATTGTGAAAATTTTCCAATCATTTTAATAAATTTTCCAAAAAAAATTCACAATACGCGAGCAAATAATTATAGGTCCTAATAAATTATTTTATACGCTTGTGGCCGTGGAAGGAACACTGAAAGTGGACAAATTCCAAAAAAGTTGCGTCACAGCTCACACCGCAGATTTTCTTTGAATGTGTGGATGGGTATTGTAAATGACATACTTATTGGGCCTTATTTTATGCAACAAAATTTAAACGAGGAAATTTACGAGAATTTTTTGCGAAATGATTTGAAAAACTTATTAGTAGATATTCCAGAAGAAATTAAAAGTAATTTGATTTAGTTCATCTCACTTCCGGCTATCTGTAAAGAGTGGCGACATAGCCAATACCCATATAAGTATATGGATTGGGAGGGAAGGCCAATTCCGTGGCCTGCACGAGGTCGTGATTCGACGCCACTAGACTTCTACGTTTGGGGTCACATGAAGGACTTAGTCTACGTGACCCCAGTGAATTATCTGGAAGAACTTCGAAGTCGTATCTTAAATGTGGCAGGGCAGATTAGGGCCACAATATCTTTAAAAATAACGAAAACCGAAGTTAGGAAAGGACGTGTATCCGCAACCAAGGGGCTCATATTGAGCAAGATATTTAATCTTTAAAAAAACTTAGTAAACAAAATTGTTTAAGTTTAGGAGTGACCCTCATTTGTTAAATTGACTGTACGTTATGAATAAATGTCTTCACCGAGATATATTATTTATTACCTTTTTGGACAGTTGATTAAATGGGCATATTTTTTGTAATTTTTTGAAGTACATTATATGTGTAAAAAAAGAAAACATAATTTATTAAGACTCCGAAAATATAATTCTTTTCACATTTCAATATCCATTGGTTCTTAAGCTGGTTCATGTCTACGAGTACGACAGCTAAAAGCAGCGATGGATTTATTGTATGGACAGTAAACAATATTGTCGCGTACGTGTAATACGTACGTCCAAGAACACGGCCTCAAGACTCGAGCGCGAGTTAGTGACGTGACACTACTATTTTGTGTCGTTAATTTATTATGTTTGGCTTACCTAGTTTTACCGAAATGGGAATGAAATGTGACTTTTCATTAAATATTTATTTACACCTCTATTTTTTTCTTTCTAAATATTTTATACCGTTAACCGTTTATCAGCGATTATCTGTTTGTTAGTACTTTTAAATTACTTGATAAGTTTTATGCAGTTTTAAAATATTGAAGGATCAGTGCCGGGTTTTAAAGTATAAAGTGGTAAAAACAATTCAATAGGTACTCAATAAGTTTAATTGCGACATATACGTTACCTTTTGTTGGTGTTTCATAGTACAGTAATTTACTATAGGCGCTGTTAGACTCTGGCAAGTACAAAAAACCAGACGTGAGATTTTCCTGGTAATATAGTATGATTTTGATAATAAACAAACAATTTAAAACTGAAGATACTAATTTGTTAGTATCTTCAGTTTTAAATTGTAATTATTGTAAATGTTTTTAGTACATATTTCAAAGTTTATTTTTATAAAAAAGTATATTATATTTTCAGGAATAGCTTATGTTAGATATAACTTATTAATGGGGTACTTAAATTATGGGTCTGTTTCTTTTATTACTTTTTAAACGTCTATAAAGTAACTTTTTTAGATTTCCTCTGGGAAAATTTAGAAATAATACCATCCGTATCAATTTTTAAAAGCCATAACAATCAGGGAAATTATCAGGCGTTCTTGACTCATAGTGTACCTTAAATTAATTTTTTAAACGGTTCAATGTCGAAAATGAACGTTCACTGCTGCATTTATTGATCATGAGAGATAATAAGTGCGCTAAGTAGTTTCCAAATTGGGGTAACGTTATTCTAATAAATCATCCGTTAGGAATTTATATCGAATTTCTGGAAATACAACGGATGTGGCTGGTGTGATTGGCACCACCCACATCCGTTTTAAACAAATCGGTAAACTGCACTAATTTTTTTATTTTTTTTTATAGAAGAGGGGGTAAACAAGCATGCGGCTCACCTGATGGTAAGTGAATACCGCTGCCCATAAACAATCGCGACACCAGCGGAATTGCAGATGCGTTGCCGGCCTTTTAGAAAGGAGTAAGCTCTTTTCTTGAAGGTCTCTAAGTCGTATCGGTCCGGAAAAGTCGCCGATGGTAAACAATTCAACAGAGAAGTAGTACAAAGAAGAAAACTCCTAGTAAAACGTACAGTATTGGACCGCCAAGCATCCAGATGGTGAGGATGGTAACGGGAATTTTGATGCGATGTGCGTTCGTGAAATTTGGCGGCTAGAACATATCTGAACAATTCCTCCAACACTCCCCATGGTAGATACGATAGAAAACGCAAAGGGATGCAACATCTCTACGGCAGCGCCAGTGAATCGAGTCGATCAGAAAGCACTCGGTCGTCGACGATTCGAATCGCTCTGCGCTGGATGCGGTCAAGTGGAAGGAGCTGGTACTGGGGTGCCCCGGCCCAGAGATGAGAACAGTATTCCATGTGAGGCTGAACTTGAGCTTTGTAAAATTGCAAGCGATGTGCCGTCTCGCTCTACTGAGCACTTGCCAAGTCTTTTAGATGCCAATTTGGTCTTCCTCTCCAAGTGACTACAAAACTGTACGACTATTCCAATTGTCGACGCCAAGGATTCCGATGCAGCTGAGGCAGCAAGGGGAGTGCCTTCAAACTGAGGAGACACGTCAAAGGTTTTTTTTAACGGTTATAAATACTAATTCGCCGTCTATACTGTATTCCAAAAAAATTGCATAAGCACTGACCACAATTGGAGTTTCTTTCAGAATCTCTTCGGCTGTAATATATTTACATGATAATGCGGTTCAAAAATTTCTTTGTTTGTGAGCCTGTTGTGCAGTTGCAAGACAAGTCTCGACGCGTACTTCACACTGGTGATCATTGAGTTCGCGGGGCACCCATTCGTCAAGCTTTTTTACCTTGCCAATTTGACGCAAATGGTCTAGCATTGTTTTGATGCTAACATCGAAAGCTACTGCTAATTTAGCCGTAGGTAGTATATCTGTCACACCTTGTTAAAATGTTCCAAAAACACCAGTTAGATTTTGGTATGCTTTCATGAGTTTATCATAAACAGATAGCAAGTTATCAATAATGACAACAACCACTTCTATTTTAAGCTGTTTTACCAGGTGTTTCTGTGTCAAGAAATCCGTCAAGAAACAGGAACCATTAAAATTGTCGTACTTTGTTTTACACTTGCGTCATCTTTTTTGCTGATATTCATGACAGCGTCTCAGATCTTTCAGACGTAAATTCCACAATTTGGTCATGAGAAGCAGAATATTCCTTGTAAATTGCACAGTAGTGGACCACCAGCCATCGAGATAATGAGGATGGAATTTCGAGTTTTGACGCAGTGTACCATGTACGCTGGTGGAATTCAGCAGTTGAAATTAATAAGCTGATACTGGAGTGTCCCGATCAGAAAAGTAGTCTGTATGAGGCCTAATCTGCGCTGTGTAAAGCTGCAAGCGGTATCCCGTCTAGACTTACTGAGCACTCCAAGTCATTTTGATGCTAGTTTAGATTTTCCTTTCAAGTGTCTACGAAACTGTACGTCTCTCGAATTTTCGACGCCAAGGATTCCGATGCTTGCTGAGGTAACGAGGGCAGTGACCTGAAATCAAGGAGATACGACAAAGGGGTTATTTTTGGCAAACCTGTGTCTTTTGGGAATTAAACTTTAGTCACCCCCAATCCGAGACTTTGTTCAACAAAGAGTCGACTTCAGACACAAGTTTGTTTCGATACTCGACGACGTGTTCCTGAGAAATATTAGCACGGCCGGTGTATAAAGCATCGCCAGTTCTGTTGTCTGAATGACAACGAATATTACTAGTATACAACATATCATTGATTTGCAAAAAGAACAGGGTAGGTAGCACGCAGCCTTGTTGACCACCAGCATTTACAGGCTTGGAGTCGGATCATGCACCGTCGACTACAATCTTAACACTCTGATCTGTAAGAAAACTAGTAACCCAATTGCATAATTTCTCCAGAAGCCCATAAGAGGGAAACTTTGAAAGAAACGCTTTGTGCCAAAGCCGATCGAAACCCTTCGCTATGTCCAAATTAGGCACTATGGCACTATGGTAAGACATTCATTAATGTAAAATAAACGCGGAGATCCAGGAAGATTCATGTCAGCAGTGTCAGCACCGCGTCTCACGCATGCCGCCTGCAACAGTGCATCTCCTTGTTCTCGGCGTGTAAACTTTACTACAATTAGTCAGGGGTTTGGCACCGGCTGTCCTTCAACAAGCACCTTTATTGGCTCGGCGCGTTTTACACTTAATATGTCACGGTCCTCAATCTCTACAGTAAGTTTCTTAGCGACAGTAAACGTGACGTGCATTAGGTTTTCATTCCTCAACTATGGTATACCCGCTATCTCCATATCATTGAATAACATCTATCCACGGTTTTGAACATCTAGTTTTAGTTGGCTTATTGTTGTTTCCAGGTGTTCATATTGACATTTACTTCTTGGCGGCTCCCGCAACCCCACCATTGCCTCTAAATCATTTGTTCGAATACATCAACCTTCAAAGTGCATAATGATCATTTCATTACGGACTGCACGTAATTCACTCCAAAATAACCGAATTTCCTTAGCAGTTCTTAGGTCTGAAATTTCAGAAGGAGACATATTTCGTGTATTATCAGTATCTGTTGATCTGACTGCTTTTACCCTTCATGGGATTTATGTGATATCGTGCTCGTGCGTACCGGCGTATTGGTATTATAAGTCTTTAGCTGCTTACTGCGTCATTTTATACATTTCCAAGAATGTTTGTTCTCCTGATCCATTAAATGAAAACGTTTGTTCGATACATTAGCACAAAGTACATCATATTTTAACTTACATATTGAACATCCCAGAAACTCTCTTTGCGTCAAGTTGTTAAAATTAAAGGGGTATCATCAGCAAATACTTAATACTGTATCGTAATTGATGTCTACTAGATAAGGTAAGTCATTAATATAGATTAAGAACAAGAATGGGCCAAGACACGAGCTCTGAGAAACGCCCATTGATACTACCGATTCGGATGAACCCTTACCTTATGATAACGGCATTTTGAGTTATGTTACTTAAATATGAAATAATAAGTCTAAGCGCAATATTTTTGTTTTTAACCCTTGTAATGTTGTGGTTACCTGATTAATATCTCATAATGAACACAGTCCAAATCCTTGGAAAGATCATAAAAATACCTAAGGAAGTTTGTGAATTCTCCCAGATATTGAAAATATATTTAATAAACTCAATATCGGCGTCATTCGTCGTGCGACCCCTTGTAAAACCAAATTGATTTTTATGATTAATTTACCTATTTGTATGAAGAATTTTGACAAATATAATATATTTATGTAATTTATTTGCATTAACATTATAATATTAGAGATAACATAATAAAATTAGAGAATGAATACAAATACGTACTTTTTGAGTAATATTATTAAAATAAAAATAACTTTCAGTGTCATAATATGACATTTGAGCCGTCATCACAAAAATCAACAGTATTAAAACTCAGCTAAATCGAAAAATGGTTGATCCAACACCAAAAAACGTGAAATCAGTGAAAAGCCGACTAGACACTATCAATCAAAATGAAGAATCCGGTAACAAAAAAACATCTAATATAAACCCAGTTCAGTCCCATTTTCTAGTTCCCTCGGAGAAGTTAGACAAAGTGACACGGCGTGTGATCGCGCCGTACGCTCAGATAGAGAGGAAGGGCTTGAAAGATGAAGAGGCTAAAGAGGGAACGTACTTGGACATCAGCAGGTTTAACGTATTCCTGGAGGATACTGTGGATCTTGATTCACTGCTGTATGAGACTGCAGTGGTTCTTAAGACAATCACGAATAGTTCAGGTAGGCTGATATCATAAAAGTTACTCCTGTCACCCCTGTAACGAGGCGGTTAGGTTTTTCCGGCTGCATATCTCTGTTTTACTTTTGTGCATGCGCGCAATCGTGCGTGCGTTTGCGCGCGTTTTTGTGCGCGTACGTGCGTGAATGCGTATAACGACACTCCAATTATAGCTATAACTAAGATGCTCGAAATATTCGTTACGTATTCCGTTATATTTTAATTAAAAGTATTCAGTATGAGCTATTTTTCAGATTTAAAAAAAAATATTGGCATCATTTGAAAAGTAACTGACTTCTCTGAATGCTACACTCTAAAATTTTGGGGCCTTACGCCCCCGTCTCCTCCAGACACACCACTGGTTTAATGTTTCCCTATTGCTAAACCCGGGTCAGTTTATACCGAAATATAAACTCACCCGCGCCGCGACGCGACGCGGCGCGTATATTTTAAGATAGTGACACAAAATATAACTTTATTTACTTCACAAAAAGATACACATTTTATTGGATTATTAAAAAATACCCCGCGGCGTCGCGGTACGCCGCGCTGCGCCTAGAGATGCCCCAGACATAGCGTGCAAGTGCAGTGTACTTTAAGATGCGCCTCGAAACGTCGCGATACGACTCACGGCGACGAGCTGCGCGGTGCGAAACCACTGGTCTCTTCAAGCATCGTCGCGTCGCGTCTCGGTGTGAACTGACCCTAATGCTCACAGAGATGAGATCAGAGGTAGGCTTTTAGGATCACTTAGTTCCGTGGGCTTTAACTTGCTTGAAAATTGCAGGTGTATTTGTTTATATCGTCGACAATTTGAGAAACGAGATACTGTTGATGACGCAAAACACCAAGAACCCTGAGCGCCACGAGGTTAACATACCTATAGGTTTGTGCACAATTTCGTTTAACGATATTTATGTTTCATATATTGAGATTCGAGTCCGCTTTAGTGGCTTGGAGTGCCTGGTGATCATCATGAAAATTATCGTCATCATTGCAGCCAATCACAAGTTCACTGCTGAAAGTAGGCCTTCCTCAAGGATTCTTCAAAATTTTATCTTCAATTCAAGGAAAGGACGTCACTCAAGCGTTGCAACCATGATAAACATCTCCCCATAAGAAACGGTACAGAAAAGTCGAGAACTGTATTGTATTATGACTATAGTACGACTCGATCAATGAAGCACAAATTACAAAGTAATAATGAAGTACCATTGCCGTCGTTCCAGCGTAAAATAGCAGCATAATACTGCTGTTTCGTATGGTAACGAGATCAGAGACCCTTTTCAACCAACTACGAAAAAAGGAGGAGGTACTCAATTCCACTGTATTTTTTAATGAGTGTTACCTCAGAACTATTTTCTAAGTTAACCGATTTTGGTGATTCTTTTTTATTTGAAAGCTGGTACTTCTCATCTCATATAAATTTGGTCAAGATCTGACTAATACTTTTAAAGTTATCCTTAGTAATGAGGTTTTAATTGACTTCGACTACATTCATGTTATGATTTTACTTATATTGAAGTCGGTTGTACAATTATTTTTTTTTAATTTTACCACTTGTTACTGGTGAAAGTGCATATTGATGTTTAATAGAGGATCGATTTAGATGTCTATGAGCTATAGTTTCCACCATCAGGTGAACTGTCACCCATATTTGTATCAAACCTACTTGTATAAAAAAGAGAAAAACCCATTTTCATAAAATAAAAGTGAGACGATAACGGACGCTAACTCGTCTGCCTAAAGTGAGTTGAATATGGCCCTACCAAGAAATGTATGCCACTTTGCGCATTTTTGAGAAATTTTATGGCTATTGGCGAATTTAAAGAGGCTGTTGATGACGGACTGTTCTGAGAAGATTCTTTTAACATGACATAGATAAAGTCCAAGTATGTAATATACATTTATTTTGCACGATTTAGTAAATCTAAGTGGTAAACCGATTTTTCACATGGTTTAAATGTGTTACGTTTAATTTTTTTACGTAAAACTTTTAAAACGTTTAAAAACGTTTAAAAAACCGTAAAAAATTAATTTTGACGAGTTTAAGTGATATACATAGGGTTTATGTGGTATTTTTAAATAGAATGAGGATGACAAATCAGCACACAGTCCACCTGATGGTAAATGGATGCTGTGGCCCATAGACATCTACATTTATCCTTGATTATGAATCAAAATACAGATGCGTTGTCACCCCTGAGGACTAAGATTGAATGCCTCGTTTCCAGTAAAAAGGGGTCTCCGGATCTCCACACTAACCGTACATTTACACAGCAGTAAACTGTATTTTACGCTGGTAATCTGTGAGAGCGTGATCCTTTCCCGGTCGAGAAGACCCATTCGTGGTACAACCACGAATAGCTGCAGCGTGGCTCTACCACGTATAAAATGGTAGTATTCTTTTCAGCTAAGGAGTCTGCCTGGGTAGGTAACTATCTCCCTTACTAATTTCTGCTGCCGAATAGCACTGCCTGCTTTGGAAAGTTATAGATGGCCAGTATTACGTTGTACGTTGTGAGGTATTCAATCTTAGTCCTCAGTGTTGACAACGCTTCTGTATCTGTAGCGTTCCTTGTTTCAAGTTGACTGCTGGTTTCCATGGACTGCTGTAGCCACTTACCATCATGTGGAATGTAAGTTCGCTTTTCACTTCAATTTTTTTTAAAAAGACAATTCTTTTACACGTTCAAGTAAATAATTTTGTTAAGAATACAAATACAGTGGTGGGTCGTTGTCGAATTTTCGACGAACGAAAAGCACCCGTTTTCCCGACGTCGAAAACGGTTGCAGAAAACGGTCGTCGTCGCAACTGGTTTGAAGAACGCTTAAAGGACGAAACTCATTCAACATGGAATAGATTGCGTTTTCGTCGACTGAAATAGATGAATTGGTTTACTAAATAACTCGTTTTATTGATTGACTTTATTTAACGGTGAAATGAAGTTCCCTTCATACTTTCCAAGGCTTAAGATTGGCTGAGACAGACTTATCATTACCGTTAACATTAGCGATTAACACCGGCGACTATTTCATTGACAAAAAGTTCACTTTTTATTGTAAAAACTGCTTGTTTAGTCTCTATCTACTTTCGTATACGAATGCAAACCCAAAGACTACAATATAATGCGGAACTTTAAGCACGACGACGCGACGAAAGAGATAGATAGTTGAATCATTGCGTTCTCGACTGTATTTTCATAGGCGTAAAATAAAAAATCGCACCAAGTAATTTGAAGACTGGTATGTGCAACGAATACTGTTTAAAACTCAGGAAATAAAACGGTTTCTTCGTCGCAAAATACAAAACATTATTTGTAAACAGTTCGCCGTCGCAATGCCCACCCCTACTAGATAGTGAGATGAGACTAGAGTAATTTTTTGTAAAGGTTTTGTGTACTTATACTGTAATTGAAAATTTCATCATTCACCCTTATACAGAAGAAGGAAAAGTAGCAGCGGCACATGTAGCAGCAACAAAGCAGTACCTTCTTCTAGAAGATGTGCAGAGGGATCGGCGATTCGCAGAGGGGCTTAAGTGGGTGGACGCTAAGGTGGCGCTCTGCATGCCCGTGGTGAAACCCGACGGGGACTGCTATGCGGTCCTTGAGCTGTACAAGACTTACAGTGAACCTTATGACGATGTGTGTTGGAGTAGTTCCTCATCCTCGTATATTCCTCCCTACCTTCGCAAATTCGGGTCTAGGGGAAATCTGAATAAGTATATTTACTATCTGCTTTTTAATTTTTAACTCCCGACATATGGTATGTGTAAATGTTTATTGCCTGCCTCGCGGTTGCTGATCTTGTCTTGAGGTCCCGGGTTCCTGTCAAATAATTCTCAGCATCAGCCCGGAGTCAGGAAGATGAAGTTGCTTCACCCCTGTTCCTCGGAAAGCACTTAGAGCCGTGGGTTTTACGCCTGATCTCTTTACTGTAGTGTTGGTTTGACATTCTACCGGACTATGAGAGTGAAGGAATAGGGAGTGCACCTGTGCTAGTGTAGTACCCCCTTCTTATTAAAAAAAAATCATACAGTAAAATAAAATAACTTACTTGAAAAATTTTTAACAAATATTTACTTACTATTGTACTCCTTGGGATAGTTAAAGTATGATATGTTTATATTTTTTCTAGTATTATTCATACACACAGTACAATAACCAACAATTATTAATAATACCACGATTTTACATTAAAATATTCAAACTTGCAACTAACGAAACAAACGATGTGCGTCGCACTCATAGAATACTATAAGTGTACCCGTAATACATACATAATAGAACAGGGGAGTGGGTGGAGCCCATGTAGCCACTAAAATGTCACTAACACGTCAATTCACACTAGTATTTACACACGAGATGTGTTTTAACGTTACAATAGTTTCCAAATTTCCCATACAAATTTTTTAGAAAATGCCAAATTGCACGCTACGTGACACAGCGAATCGAGTTTGTAGTAGTGATAATACGATATTATTGCTTGTATGTGTGCTCCCGGCGACGCCTATTGTCGTACAAAATAAGGTTGACAGCCCTTCTATTGTGTATTATAGTATTCTATGGTCGCACTGATTCTAAGATTGTCCACTGGCTGTGTCAGCGTAACCGATTTTTTTCCAGTCTCGCCGCGTACGCGAGAAGAGGCCAGTGGTTACGTACACATGCCCCGCGTGCATGTAGTAGTGCAACCGATTCGCGCGGTTGTATGAAGCTTTATCTCTGTTCCGATTACCTACTCATGTGCTGTTACGGTAACAGCTAACGATATGCTTATACCGCCATCTATCTGAAATTTGCTATTATCAAAATCCGACGTTACGATACCTACGGGATGAAATGGAATAATTGATTTTTTTTTGATTGATCGGTAGAAGAAAAAGAAATATAATGAAACACTGGTTTATTTCTTTCAGCTTAGTATTTTGTAATATGTATTTTCTTACTATTTTAAATCATAAAGTAAAGTTCTTTCTTTCCATTTAGAATGTGATCTGCACAGCAGTGACTATATCCTGCTGGGCCGGAGCGGCAGTACATCAGGCACAGGCTCGTGTCACCCTGCAGAGGACCGCACACCTCAACATGGAGCTGCGCGCTTTGCTTCAGAAGTACTTCTGCGACCTGGCTTCCATCGATACTATGCTAACAGATATGCTGGTGCGATTTAACAATGCATTTTGGTATAAATAAGGTTTTATACAAGGTGTAAGTGTAAACACCGTTATCACTAAAACCATAGGTAGTTGGCTTTAATACAAAAATATTTATTCGAATTTTTTAAAAAAAACGCTATTTTCTTTCATAAAATTTATAAAATTTTCTGTCCGACACCGTCCGTAAATTCATGGATACCCTATGCGCCCGAGTGACGTAATCACTCTAAAGATCACCGTCCGCGCTAGCTACCTACACAACATTCCAATAAAAACACATAACCTGTGATGTTACTTTTCCTTCATACTTTCATCGTTGCTTAGAACAGGCAAAAATTGAGGAATGAAGGAAAAATTGAGGTTTTACTAAAAATAATGTTATTTTTCATTGAATTTACGTTCTATAAGTGAAACCAAACCACTGGTTTCAAGGATGACGGTGTTTACACTAACACCCTGTATGTTTATTTTTAAGAGCATTGAGAGTTTTGTGATTTAAATAACAATATCTATAAAAAATATTCCTTTATAAATACTTTATTGCAGAGATATCCTACATTTTTACTGAAATATCACCTTTATTAAAATATCTAAACAAAAGACCAAACGTTCGAATTTAAGGGACCACTTAATGAAAATAAATGTTTTTTCGATGGATAAGTAATATATTTCTGTGATCTGCGCGGTTATAGTACAATATTGAATTTTAATTTTTAACATAGTATAGCAACTATAGATGGGCCGAATATGGATTTCACCGTATAAGAAAATTTGGCCGAAAGTTCGGTAAAATTTGTACCGAACCGAATATTCGGCCGAACATTATTCGGCGGCATCACCTCGGTACCTAAACAATTTATTTTGAAACTCGTTACCGTAAAGTGCCTGCGCCCTCCTCCTCCCCTCCTTCACCCTCTCCTCCAAAGCATCAACCACCTCCCTCCCCCCTTTCCGATTCCCACCGGGCGAAAAAAAAACGTAAAGTGCGCGGGTTTAGAACCTGCCGGAACCTGCCTCTAGCTCCACTGCTACACCTGACATGTTCTTGCATCATGTAGCATCTAGTACTGAGCAAATTGCCGACACATGCTTATATTTTGACTATTTTTGTGAGAAAAAAAGTATTTCGTTGTGTTGTTCTTAGTGAAAATTGATAATTATATGATGAAAATGAGTCCCAGCAGATCGACTATTTGGACTTATTTTAGATAAACTGACGACCTAAGTAAAGTGAAATGTAATGTAATGTTACTTTGTTCGATTCCAAAAACATTTTATTAAGCTTGCTATTTGCTATTATTGGAAATAAATCTACAGTACCTCAAAAACAAATAGAATAATTAGATAAATAGATAGAAAAATACAAGCAGATTTAACCCAAAATTAACATATACTTTCAACAGTAAAATTATGAAAGACATGGCATTACTCAATTTGTACATTTCAATACAGTGGGCACTTTGAGTACCTACCATTTTAACGAATGTTCGGTGATTTAACGAATACGAATATTTCATAAAGCTGCCGAATATGCCGAATATGAAAGGAATATTCGGCCCATCTCTAATAACAACAGAGTAACCACAGAAATCTAATCTTTCTGTGAGAGTGACAAACGTGTTCGTAGGGGCGTCTGATGGTTATTGAGGTGGCCGCTTCCAAGTTGTTTCTTAAATAAATTTTGTAAATACTTAGTGACCATTAATATTGTAAAATACATTTAATAAAAGTCCCGCTGGCTTTCTTGCTGGTTCTTCCCAGGACAGAGGTTTTTTCGAACCAGTGGTAAAGTAAAAAATTACTCTCAATAAGAATTCATCATCATCATCATCATTACAGCCCTTCACAAGTCCACTGCTGAACATAGGCCTCCCCCAAGTAATGCCACAAAGCACCGTCCTGAGCCACCTGCATCCATCGATTTCCTGCATGTCTTACCAGGTCGTCACTCCATCTAGTGGGGGGTCGCCCTACACTACGCCTACCGGTACGAGGCTGCCACTCGAGAACCTTTCTTCCCCATCGGTTATCGGTTCTTCGAGCTATATGGCCGGCCCATTGCCACTTCAGCTTACTAATCCGTTGGGCTATGTCGGTCACTCTGGTTTTACTGCGGATATCCTCATTTCTGAGTCTATCACGCAGAGAAACTTCGAGCATAGCCCTCTCCATAGCTCGCTGAACGACCTTGAGCGTCCTCATACGGCCAGCAGTGAAGGACCACGTCTCAGATCCGTAAGTCATCACTGGCAACACGCACTGGTTGTACACTTTAGTTTTCAGAGATTGAGGTATACCCGACGAAAAGAATAATGATTACAACATGTAATCTATATTGAATAAAAAATTATTCTATTCTACCTTTCGTTTGTTTTTAATATAAAGGATAGTTTGAATGACCGAGCTTTGCTCGGTATATTTTTGGAAATCGTGTGTTTTAGAAATTATATTTAGATACAAATTACATACTGATGAAACATAAATAATATATTTTGATCTTATTGATATAATAGAAAAAACTGCAATTACTTATTTTAATATAAATTTTCGTGTTTTTAAAAAAAATACAAAAAAAGGCTCGAAATTTATTCCCAAAACAAGGAACTTGAAAAGTAAAAGAAAAAAGTCGAACCGAAACACAGGACTCGAACCATGGTGCTACGATTTCGATACTGCTCGATATCCCAATAAGCTATTAAAATAATTAACATATTGTCAAACGACGAAATTTTTTTTGTAAAAATATATTTGCATTTAGTAAAAAGCTGTCCTTTTGACACTACAAAAAGACAATTCACTTTTATTTATCTGTATTGATTTTTTTATAAATGTATATTTTAAGTCAAAAATATACCTATTTACAATATTTTTGTTAGATTATGCTTTATAAGCAGTATGAAGGGGCTTATTACTGTATTTGCTAAAACGTGACCGTTTTACCTACTTTTTAACGTAACAAAGTAACGAACAATCAGTGCATTACCATCAAGGGAAAGAACAACTCCTAACTTAACTTTTTTATCTTTTTAGCCGGATCCGACTCGAAGGACCTTTAAGAATGTACAATTTTGTTGTGATTTTGAACACTGAAGTAGTTAAATGTATTAAATTAAGGTTATAACTAGGTACATTGTGTTACATTTGACGTGGTCGAGCCACGCTATAGCTATACTATGGCTGTAACAAGAATGGGTCAGCTCGACCGGCGGAGGACCACGCTTTCACAGAATACCAGCGTAAAATAGCAGGTAATGCTGCTGTGCTTCGTATTATAGCAGTTTAATATCGATGAGTGTAGAGAATTGGAGATCCTTTTTACTGGAAACGAGGCATTCCATCTTAGTACTCATGGGGTGACAACGCATCTGCATTTTGATTCTTAATTGAGGATAAATGTAGATGTCAATGGGCTACAGTATCCACTTACCATGCGGTGGACAATTGTCAACCTATGCTATAAAAAAAATTAGTTACGTTAGGAGTGGTTCTTTCCTTTAATTGTAATACACTGATCATTTACAACGTGCGCAGGCAAAGTGGGACGTGTGGAAGCAAAAATAATCGGTCGTTAGACCTTAAATAATATGTATATGCGAAACTTAGCTTAATAGCATTGACCATATAGGTAAGCTAAGCTAAGCTAAACTAATAGTTCATAGAACAGTATTTTAAATAAATTATCTTATATTCCCCTTTAGTCCGGTTTAAGAATATCCACTACTCCATACCATCCCGCGGGAGTCGTAAGAGGCGACAGAGGAAAACAAAACAAAAGATGGGCAGCAGCGTGTACCTAATAACGACTTAAAATAAAAACTGTGGTTGCCAACCCGCTTGCCAAGCGTGCCAACTATGGCAAATGTCCCCCGTATGAGGCAATCTATGTTCAGAAGTGGACTTTAATGGTCTGTAACTGTGTAACGGTAATGATACCCTTGATAAAGAAAGTCGAAAATTGTTACAAATTTTGTTCACATGATGGAAGTCACATCCTTTACAAGAGAAGACCAACGAGCATGAGGTTCATCTGGTGGTATCGACCGCGGCCCACGAACATCTGCAACACCAGGGTAATGGCGTTGCCTGTCTTTCTTTAAAAAAGGAGTAAACCCGTTTCTTGATCGATAGTATTTAGGTATCCTCCTAACCCTAATTTTTTAACCTAAATTAGTCTTTTGACGCTCAAATGTTATCGAAAAGACGATATAGTTTTTGGGATGATGATACTGGTGGTGATGAAATTTTATCCACAGGCCATAATAAAGTCGTTCATCGGTGCGATGCGTAGCAGCTTTTTCATCATTGACCGAGAGCACATCGACGGGCAGCTGCTGGCTGATATGTGGGACGACGGCTGGACGTCCGAAAGGAGTGCTCTTCCCAGAAAAAAGTTAAAGATTAAGTAAGTGCTATGAATATTCCAAAAGAACTGCTACTTGAGGTTTATTTCTCGAATGATAATCGAGTAGACAAAATGTAAACATATATTTGTTCTTTTAGAAGAGGGGGCGAACGAGCATACTGTTCACCTGATGGTAAGTGTCGACCGGCGTCCATGGACAACTGCAACACCATGGGAATTGCAGGTGCATCGCAGGCTTTTTAAAAAGGAGTAAGCTCGTTTTCGAAGGTCCCTAAATCGTATTCGTCCGGAGATATCACCGTTAGCAAAGTATTCCGCAAAGTCGTGCAAGGAAGAAAACTCCTCGTACGACCCACCGCAGTTGTAGGCTTGTAGTTTAGCGCATTACTGAGGAGTTCTGGAATGAAATTGGGGTCGACTTTGACCCTCTTGTATAAGCCCCCCCCATTCCCTTGTTATCATGGGTGCTGCAAGGCATTTAAAATGTCGGTAGTAAAAAAATAGATGAATCAAACTCAATACCAACCGCAAAAACCATCATGATTACATCCCATTACAAGTCCACTGTTAAGCTTAGGCCTCTGCTCATGAATGCCACAAAACACGGTCCTAAGCCTGCATCCATCAAACTCCTGCATATCTTACAGTTCGTCACGCCATCTACCAGAATTATAATATGATATTAACACTTTAACTGTCCGATTTTCAGACACAATAGAAAGATCCACAGCACACGGGACAGCGAAAAGTTAAGATGAGAATGAATGATACTAATATTTATTTTCGTTGTAATTAGTACCTAGTATTGGTAGGCAGGTCAGAAGGGAGTTACGAAGAAAAGCGGTCCCTGAGGAGCACCAGCGTTACTGGTCATGTGGCTCAGAGCAGCTATCTACATGAACAATAATTAAAAATTATAAAGTTTTTTTATAGAATAAGGATGACAAACGAGCACACAGTCCACCTGATGGTAAGTGGATGCTGTGGCCCATAGACACCTACATTTATCCTCGATTAAGAATCAAAACGCAGATGCGTTGTCACCCCTGAAGTCTAAGATGGAATGCCTCGTTTCCAGTAAAAAAGTGTCTCCGGATCTTTACACTCACCATACGAAACACAGCAGTATTAAGCTGCTATTTTACGCTGGTATTCTGTGAGAGCGTGGCCCTTCCACGGTCGAGCCGACCCATTCGTGCTACAACTATAATATAGCTGCAGCGTGGCTCTACCACGGATAGTGACTTTGAGGTAAGATCACTTATTAAACTGGATTTCCAGCTTAACCCTGGAGGAGAGCCCGGCAGGCTTGGTGGCGAGAACAGGTGTGCCGCTCAACGTGCAGGATGCATATAGAGATGCACGCTTTGCGAGGGAAATTGATCCCACTACTGGGATGGTTGTGAGAACCGCCTTAGTGTATCCTATCACTGATAAGAATGGAGTTATTGGTAAGTGGATCTTATTTTATTAAGACGTTACACACTAGAATTTCTTCTGTATCGCGGAGGCAGTTTCAGGTATAGAGCACTTACACCCCCCCGTCGTCGAGACTTGAGATGGACGCCAAAAGAGAGCCTATAAGATCGGCTTCATTTTTTGCGACGTGGGCCAGTGATTCGTACTTCCTATGCAGAGATGATAGCGATGGCTTACAGAAATTCCTCGGACAGCCTTAGCGAGAGACCAGAGTGCACGGGTTCCTGAAAGAAGGCGAACTAATTAATCGCCAATTCCGCCAACGTGCTCTTACTTTGCCCTGGCAATAACTTTTTTGAAGGACCTGGAGGCGAAGTTATACTTACTTCTTTTTAAGCTTGTCGATGTTTACATCCCCAGCCGCCAAAGCGTAAGCCCAGGCCTGATTATACTCCTGCTTACTGCGTAATGCAGTCTTAAAGGAACGATCAAACTAAGGTGGGCATCTGTCTCCGATGGGTACCACAGATGATGGAATAAATAGTTCCAAAATGCACAAGGACATACATCTAGACCAGAATTGTTTATAAGCCATACAGGTAACTTCTTTCATGCGGGTTTCGAACACGCGGCCCTAAGCATCTGAGCTGAATGCTAAGAATTCTTTCTTTAGGTATATCCATTTATATTTCGCTTCATTAGAGTACATAAATATTGTATTATAAGGAGGTTTTAGTTAGAGTCCTATTTCGCTGGCACTGGAGGTATCTGTGAACGCAAAGTGAAATTAAGTATTTACTGCAATTTTAAGTAATTATTTTTCTACGTAATGTTAATATTGAAATAAATAATAAGTATTTTACTAATTAAAAAGTATATGTTATAATAATGTAGCATTTCAGACCACGGTACAATAATGTACTCTTAATTTGGGCAGATTCACAATATTTCATCACACCTATGTCCTGCCTGGTGTCCTCTCGACTCTTAGAGAATGTCAAAAGACATTAAGTCCGCCATTTGTAATGCTTATATATTTTAAACACAATAAAGTACTAATAAATAAAAACAAGTATACATAAAAACAAATAGGAAACAGTTTAATAACAGCTCTACGTCTTACTGATAAGCGCAGGCCTCCTCTAATAAAATGGTTCTAGGTCAAGGGTACAACAGAACAATTAGACTAGCTGCGTCAGGGAAAAATCTGCCATTCAAAAGTTCTGGAAAATGTTTTTACTTATAATTTTTTGTTACAGGTTTCCTTCACCGTTAAGAACGTGATAAAAATTTTATATTTTGTGGACTGTAATGAATGAATGAAAAATTATAGTGTATACAGCTATACTGAAGCTATGATATCATTCAACATCATCATTACAGCCCTTCACAAGTCCACTGCTGAACATAGGCCTCCCCCAAGTAATGCCACAAATCACGGTCCTCAGCCACCTGCATCTATCGACTTCCTGCATATCTTACCAGGTCGTCACCCCATCTAGTGGGGGGTCGCCCTACACTACGCCTACCGGTACGAGGCTGCCACTCGAGAACCTTTCTTCCCCATCGGTTATCGGTTCTTCGAGCTATATGGCCGGCCCATTGCCACTTCAGCTTACTAATCCGTTGGGCTATGTCGGTCACTCTGGTTTTACTGCGGATATCCTCATTTCTTAGTCTATCACGCAGGGAAACTCCGAGCATAGCCCTCTCCATAGCTCGCTGAGCGACCTTGAGCGTCCTCATACGGCCAGCAGTGAAGGACCACGTCTCAGATCCGTAAGTCATCACTGGCAACACGCAATGGTTATACACTTTAGTTTTCAGAGATTGAGGTATACCTGACGAGAAGATGTGTCGTAATTTCCCGAACGCTGCCCAGCCGAGTTGAATCCGTCGATTGACCTCTTGGTCGAAGTTGGACTTACCTAGTCGGACTATTTGTCCCAGGTAAACGTACTCGTCAACAACTTCGAGCATAGTGCTCCCAACAACTACCGGCATAGGTGTGACATTGACATTAAACATGATCTTTGTTTTGTCCATGTTCATCTTAAGACCTATCCGTTGGGAGGCACTATTGAGGTCATTGAGCATAGTGCTTACGTCCTCCACCGATTCTGCTATAAGGACTATATCGTCGGCAAATCGAAGGTGAGTGATGTACTCGCCATTGATGTTAATACCGTATCCTTTCCAGTCCAATAGCTTGAAAACGTCTTCCAACGCAGCGGTGAAGAGTTTCGGGGGAAATAACGTCACCCTGTCTTACACCTCTCTGCAGTTGGATAGGTTTCGAGCTCTGGTTCTGTACTCGGATAGCCATCGCAGCCCTACTGTCACAAACACTTCAGCACTTCGATATACCGACAGTCAACTTGGCACCGCTGAAGGGACTGTAGCACCGCCCAAATTTCGACAGAATCAAAGGCTTTCTCATAGTTCACATACGCCAGGCAAAGTGGCAGATTGTACCCTCTTCGGTCTTCTGTACAATCTGCCGCAGGGTATGTATGTGGTCTATGGTACTGAAGCCTTTTCGGAAACCGGCTTGTTCGGGAGGCTGGAAGTCATCGAGTCTGCGTGCGAAACGATTCGTAATGACTCTCGAAAACAGCACGTAGACGCGGCTCAGAAGGGAAATCGGTCTGTAGTTCTTCAAGAGAGCATTGTCGCCTTTCTTAAAGAACAAGACCACCGCGCTTCTGCTCCACGCCTCTGGAGTAGTGCCACCATGGAGGACGGAATTGAAGAGCTTCTGAAGGACTTCAAGTACCGGTGTTCCACCCGCTTTCAGAAGCTCCGCTGTAATTCCATCCTCGCCCGGGGTCTTGCCGTTTTTAAGGTGGTGGAGAGCCATTCTAATCTCGCTCAGACTGACGTCCGGGATATCATCGGAATAGTGTCGGATAAGACTTGCTCTTGGATCGTTACTCACACTTGCGTGTGGCTCCAACGATGATGTTGCTGCCCTTAGAAGCCAGCTGCCCATAGAACCTCTCAATCTCACTCAGAATCTCAGGTGTCCCGGAAACGATGTTGCCACACTCAGTCTTCAGCCTTGACAGTTGGCTCTTTCTGGCAGACAGATCTCTGGCAAAGACTTTGGAGCCCTGGTTCCGCTCGATCGCTTCTTTAATACGAGCAGTATTAAAGTTGCGTAAGTCTTGCCGCATGCATTTGGAGATCTGTCTGTTCAGTTGCCTGTATGCTGTCAAATCTGTTGACGATTGCAGCCTCATCTCCCGTCTAACAGCCATGAGATTAAGAGTGTGATCGGAGAGTTCTTGTGTTCTTCTGTGGCGGGTCTTGCAGAACTTAGCTCCGACCGCATGGACAGTTTCCACGGGCTTGTCATTCATATTGTTCACTACATTGCAATCTTGTAGGCACTGAAAGCGGTTACGTAACTCGAGCTGAAAGGTTTCGGGATTCTGGATTAGAGCACGAGGGGGACGGAGCGTTGACTTAATTAGACGAGACCTCTCCAACTTAACGTTTAGGTTCAGTGTGCCTCTAACGATTCGGTGATCGCTGCCAGTTTTCACCCCTGCGATCACTAAGACATCACTGAACAGTTGGCGTCTGGTCGTCATAATGAAGTCAATCTCATTTTTTGTCGAACCGTCAGGGCTCGACCAGGTCCACTTCCTGTGGGGCCGCTTCTGGAAGAAAGAGTTCATCATAAAGAGTCCCTCTTTCTCCATAAAGTCGGCCAACTGCTGGGCCCCTTCGGTTCCGTTGCCCTACTCTAAATTTCCCTAACTTCAGCTCACCGTTTTCTCTTGTGCCTAGTTTTGCGTTGAAGTCTCCCATCAACACCGTGTAGTGGGTTTTGGAGGAATGCATGGCTTTGGAACAATCCTCATACATTTCCTCCACCTCCTCATCGGGATGTGCCGAGGTTGGTGCGTAAACCTGTATGACCTTCAGCGAATGCCGTTTGGTGATTCTGAGTATCAGGTACGCGACCCTCGTCGACACACTCCCAATCTTTACAACGTTGTTGATGAGAGACTTGTGGACGATAAATCCGACACCTCCTTGGGACAGATGGTCGCCCTCCCGGTGATAGAACAAGTTGCCGGATTCGAGAATCACCGTGTCCTCCCCCTCTCTTCGGACTTCGGATAATCCTATAATATTCCAGCGCAACTTGTCTATCTCTTCTTCCAGCTCCAGGATCTTCTCGTCACTCCTCAGGGTGCGTTAAATGTTTACAGGTCGAGTCGTCGTAGGTGGCAACCGAACCTCTACCGGAGATTCTTAGCACCCCCTGCCCCGCCGTTACCATGGTCGCCACCGTAGCCAGGAATAGCGGGGCCGCCGGGGACTGGGCTATGATAGCCTAAGCTATGATAGCTCCAATTAAATTAAGTAGTTTTTACGATTTTAAGTGCTTATTTACCACGTGCTCGGCGGTGAAGGAAACATTCACACTGAAGTCACCAAGTAAGACAACACAACACGTACGTGTACTGGAGTAGCGTGGTGGCTCCATCACTCCATAGCCCATCTAAAAATGAGAGATTTAAAATTTTATAAAAAACCTACACTTAAACTACAATTTTCCAGGCGTGGTCCAGTTAATGAACAAACACGATGATCGACCGTTCGATGCGGACGACGAGACGATCTTCGAGGTGTTCGTCAACTACTGCTCGCTCATTGTGCACTTCTACCAGATGCATCAGAAGAAACTATATCACGTGTGTAACGGTCAGATCGTAGAAGGACGTGTAGTTCAGTTTTGTTAGTAGTAATGCCGTTTTTTGCCTGCTTAAGATAACGCAACATCCCATTTCGCCCCGTAGGTGCAGTAAGGGGTAACACCAGATAAACCTTAAAGCTTTCGATAGATACCGGTATGATTAATGCGTTAAAGCAAGTAATACGCACTCAACACAACGCAACGTACGAAGAAACGAGTAGACCACTGCTCAAACTTCTCGAAAGAGGAAACTGGCCACACTGAAATACAGCGACTGTGGTTTGCACGCTAAATTCTGAGTGTGACCCCTTTGGCAACGTCTAATATTATTTAATAACGTTTAAAGTTGGAAATATTATGTACAAAATAGCTTTGTGATTTTTTAGCGAAATAAGTATTTTCTTTCTTTCTTTCTTTTAAACAAAATATTCCTTTCGGCAAATCCTCTCTAAAAGGGAAGACGCTCGTGTCCAGGTCCAGTAGTTGAACTATTGTGACTTGATGGATAAAGATTAGACTTTAAATAAAATCTAAAATCTTCAAAGACTATATTTTTGCGCTCCACAATTAATTCCTGGTACATGGCGACACTAGTTACTACTAGCGCCTTCTAGCATATAGTTGGAGAACTATGAGAGTCAAGATCCTTCTAGAAATTTCCATGGAAGAATTTTCTAGAACTATCGACACCTAGTCAGTCGGGACCAGTATATACTAGAACATTCTAGATGTTTCTACAGTAGAAGGTTCTGGAACTATCTGAGGCCCTAATAAGACCGGTATAGACCGTGACCCGGGTCAGTATTGAATTGGCAATACAAGTGAATACTTCAAAGCGATACAACTGCGAACTAAAATGATCAGTAGTACAATTGTCTTTTGTTTTGTTATTAGTGTGGTTTTAAGTTGTAATTAGTGTTCTATAATTAATGTGTCAATTCACTCGGCAGTGTTTAATTGTCTCGAAACCCAAGCTCGAAACAATATTATAGTTGTAGCACGAATGGCACGACCAGGGAAGAACCACGCTCTCACGAAATACGAGCGTAAAATGGCAGCTTAATGCTGCTGTTTCGTATGGTAAGTGTAGAAAACCGGATAACCTTTTCACTGGTAACGAGGCATTCCATCTTAGTTCTCAGTGATGACACACATCTACATTTTAAATCTTTAATCGAGGATAAATATCGTTGTCTATAGGCCACATCAAACACTTTACTATCTATGCTCGTTTGTCACCTTTATCTTATAAAAAACACCATACTGAAAACAACAAAACTTTGGAAAGAAATATTCGCTCCGTTAAATGTTATAATCGTAGGAGAACTTGAACAAAGTGTTCTCGGAGCTGATGGAGCTGCACCTGAAACCCTGCCAACACGACATGGCCGAGCTCATGGAGACCAGCGGCATCATCGTTCCGCCAACTAACTTTAGAAGGTAATAATCCTTTAGACCATGTTCGAATACCACCAGCAGTTAAATAACAATTTTTCATCCCAATATGAAGTGCTGGTCCTCCACGCGGTCGGCAGTGAAGTAAAACATTGAAACCTGCGTATTTAAGCAATTAAAAAATCTTTTTTTATGGAAGGGGAGGCAAACAAGCATATGGCTCACCAGATAGTAAGTGATCATCGTCGCCCATGAACATTTATAACACCAGGGGAAATGCAGGTACGTTGCCGGCCTTTTAGAAAAGCTGTAGGTTCTTTTCTTGAAAGCCCCTAAGTCGTATCGGTCCGGAAAAATCGTTTGCAACAGTAAATTCCACAATGTGGTTGTATGAGGCAGAAAATTCCACGTAAATCGCACGGTAGTGGACCGCCAAACATCAAGATGATTGTGGTGATGATGACGAATGACGGCGTAAACCATTTGTTTCGAATGCGTGGTGTATCCATAACCAAAATTTATCCTGTAGAATACGGAGAGATACTTTATTAATTTTACAGCTCCGTGGCAGCACAGCATTGAGTATCAGCGCTGAAGGCCACGAGTTCGAATCCCGTAAGGAACTACGAATAATTGCTCCGGATCTGGATGTTTGCCCTTGTGCAATCTATGTAAACTGCCTCTACCTTACAGGAGAAAATACTAGCAGGGTGGTAACTTTTTCTAAATCTATTCATATTCCAGTTTCGATTTTTATATCGGGGAAAACAAGGAAGACATGCCGGGCTTGACCTGCCTCATGTATATTGAGACGTTCGCTCATACAAACTTCGACCGGCACCGGCTCGCCGATTTCGTGCTGACCGTCCTCAACTGCTACCGAGACAATCCTTATCACAATGCGGAACACGCCTTTAACTTCACCCACACCATGTACGTGATATTGAAGAACAACTGCGGCTTCTTTAGCTTTGTCGAGGTAAATGCTTAAGTTAAACACTCACATTCCTCTCAATCTCTCTCAATTCCTTTTTTTTTTTCAAGTAACTTGGTATCCACTACTCCATGTCATGCCGTGCGTGTAGCAAGAGGCGACAATGGGAAACAAATCAGGAGATGGGCAGTAGCATCTTCCTAATAACGACTAAAGTACAAGACTGCGGTTGCCAACCCGCTTGCCAAGCGTGAAAACTATGGCAAATATCCCCGCTCTGAGGCAATCTACGAGGGAGGCTTAGGTTAAGCAGTGGACTTAAATTGGTTGTAAATTTTTTTTTTAATTTTACCACCACGTCACTTAAGAATGAGGTGTAATATTTGACAGATCCATAACGAGGGTAGTTAAAAAAATATATAAAGATTAATCTTATTTGTGAAATATTAGTTATATTAGTATATTTTATATTAATTAGATTAGAAATGGATAAACCAAACAACGAATGTTAATAATGTGGAAGAATTAAAAAAAAGTTGAAACTGTGTAAAAAATTAAAGAATATACAGCAGTGAGGCATTGTAGTATACACTAGAAACCGAGAAATTTATTATTGAATCGCAACTTTTCAATAGTGGTGACACTGTGTGATCATCTGCGTGCCAAATTTTTTTTAAACTTTTTTTTCTTTCAACGTGGTAGAGCCATGCTGCAGTTATATTAGACGTATAGTTGTAGCACGAATGGGTCGGCTCGACCGGGAAAGGACCACGCTCTCACAGAATACCAACGTCAAATAGTAGCTTAATGGTGCTGTGTTTAGTATTGTGAATGTAGAGAACCGGAGACCCTTTTCACTGGAAACGAGGCATTCCATCTAAGTCCTCACGGATGATAACGCATCTGCATTTTGATTCGTAATCGAGGATAAATGTAGATGTCTACGGGCCACAGCAACCACTTAACATCAGGTGGATTGTGTATTTGTTTGTCACCTTTTCCTATCATAAAAAAATCTGAAATTTATTAACAATAAAAAATTTTATAGGATAGGATGACAAACGAGCACACAGTCCACCTGATGGTAAGTGGTTGCTGTGGCCCATAGACATCTACATTTATCCTCGATTACGAATCAAAATGCAGATGCGTTGTCACCCGTAAGAATTAAGATGGAATGCCTCTTTTCCATTAAAGTGTCTGAAGTTCTATACACTCACCATACGAAACACAGCAAGCTACTATTTCACGCTGGTATTCTGTGAGAGCGTGGTCCTTCCCCGATCGAGCCGACCCATTCGTACTACAACTATACTACTAATATAGCTGCAGCATGGCTTTACCACGTATATAAGCTTGGTTCCAACAAGCGACATCTGAAGAGTGTGAAAATTAGCTCTCATTAATTCAATTGAAATAGAAACGGGTTACAAAAACCGCAAATGAAATGTACCATTGTCATATTTTGATGTTACATCAGTGTTAGATACTTATATTTTATTGAAGTGACGACGTCTAATAAATCGATAAACGCCGGCTGCACGCACGAAAAAGGATGAATCATTATAACGTTACGCACATTGTAACGTTACGATCGGAGCGCGAGTGTTGCACGAGGGAGCGAAATGCACGATTAATTTGAGTGTTCAGCATTTATCTCTCTTCCACAAAGTATGCAATCATTTCATCTATGTTTTGTTATAACGTTGTCACGTTAAACTATCGTCCTTAAACCGACTTTACAAACAACCGATTTTTTTTAATTAATTTGTCTATTTATTATGGTACTAACACGCATTTCACCGATATTTTTACAGACGGCTGGTCTGATGTTGGCAGGGCTCTGCCATGACCTGGACCACCCAGGCTTCAACAACAACTTCCTAAAACTCTGCAAGCATCCTCTGTCAGAAATGTATAAATCGTCGCAGTTGGAAAACCACCATTATTTTCTAGCAAAGAAACTTATTGAGGTAGCCCCTATGTAATATATAAACTGTTAAAAATCGTATAACTTCTAATTGACTTTACCTATTGAAGTCATATACATATTCACACAATAAATTAATTGTGTCGAGAAGATTCATGGCTATGATTTAATCCGACAGGTGGCAATGTAGTTAAGTTATGAACAAATTCTTAAAAATGTTGTAGTGTCAAAAAAAAACAAAATCTAGACCGATAGGTGGCGCCATTTTATATTTACACCAGATATAAAAAATTACAAAATTAACATATTATTTCCAAGTCTTGGAAAACGTTTGTAACAAACAGACAAACTCTCAGACACTGAGAGGCAACGTGATTAGGTATTGCTGACTTTTTTTATCATAAAATATCGGTATTGTTGATAAAGTGGAATTCTCGCGGAAACGCAGCGGGAACAGCTAGTAATATAAGTACTGGATGATTTTTTTACCGTCTGGAAAAAATAACGTGTAACGGGTGAACAAAATAGAAACTTATGACACAGATATTTTACCTTTTATTTTCTTTTACATTAACATATTATGTAATAGATCTATCAAAAAATACTTGGGTGTATATCATTTTAATTTCAATAGTTTTTAATTGATTTATTTATTTTGTTCAAAATGTTTCTATTTATTTTTTAATACTGAAAGTGTATTTGAAATTTTCAGTATAATTAAAATTGTAAAATATCAGTGCCATAGGCTTGTATTCCGTTCACTTGTTACAACCCTACATTTTTCCAGACTGTACAAAATTCATCCAGTATAAATATTGCCTGAATTACAGCTATACTAGAATGCAATCTCAACTAGATGATGGCTGTAAATTTAGGCGCTAGGCGCTGTATTTTGGCTGTAATTTAGTGCGTAATGTATTAGTGCCGTAGTGCCCATCATGCAGCATACATAGAAGTCTCTGATTAGTTTTTAGCACTATACACACGTTTCATCTTACTGTACGTTCCACTAAGTTCAAGCGCGATGCACGATAAAAAAACAACAAAGAGTAGACTATAGACCGCGAGCTGATTAAAAGGGAAAGGCAGTGGTGATGAAGATGATGATCATAGTTTATGATTAGGTATTGTTAACAATCACCATGTCGCCTCTTTAGTGGTTCTTGAGCTATCTAACCGCTGTCCGAATGGGGGAGTGCGGGCCCCCGCCTCTGACAGCTTAGTTCGTGTCGGTCGATGTTCTGAGCGGTAAGAACCGCCCAGGTACGTGGGTGGACGCGGTGCGGTGTGTGCTGGAACGCGTCATGCCCGCCTACGGGTGCGACGCGCCCCATCCGGTGTCCTATTGGCGCTTGTCCTATTTGGATAGGTGCAATGTTTGTTGTGCCTGCGACGTTTGGGCACGGTAATATTATCTATATAATATTACCGTGGTTTGGGTGTGGGAATTCTACGAGTACATCACACGGTCTATGGAGATTCCGCGCGACGTTTGAAAACATTAGCGCGAAATAACGCTGAGACATCTTCCTTGAAGTATTCGGAGATAAAGGGAAGTTGTCAGTCGTTGTGCAAATCTGAATTCCGTTGATACCACCGTGCTCTGTTGGCTTCACAGATGAAAAAGTTTTGGAATTTCAGTAGTTCGTATAGTATATAAAATTGTTTTTTCGTAATTACCTATTTCTGTAACGTCTTATTTTCTTTATGAGTACAAGTAGTAAATAGGAATAGTAAAGTTCGTCCATTTCTTTATTTATATAATTGACGGCTCCATGGTGCAATGGCTTAGCAACGAGTTACGGCTCTAAGGGCCGCGAGTTTGAATTCCGCACGGAACAAGTATTGTTGTTCTGTATGTAATAACTCCTCAGCTCAGTCGGTCTTCGGCATTCGTCCGACGCAACGCGTGTAGTGAACATTTGAAAATTTTCAAAATGCCTTCTTGCGTCGTAAAGATTGTTCCAATCATTCTGGGAAAATCAAAAAAGTCAAGGTGTGACGTTTCACCGGTAAGTAGGTACATTAAAACAACTCGTTTTATGCTCTTTTGCATTATTTTTCAATGACAGTACACCATTTTTTTACCGACCCATTTTTTGGCATATGTCATAGACTAAAGTTCGCAGATGTGACACATGTATAGGTAGGTACTATATATATAATTATTGCTTTTTCAATACATTTTTTAACCTGTTACATGTACCTACCCCCTATAAGTTTTTTATATATTGCTCTCTAATAATTAAATTAGAATTAAGTTGGATGTGTATATAAATAGTTCTAAATTTTCGATGTTTTTCCTATCAGAATGTTTTGTCAGTCAAATTGGCGTAATATGTAATACACTAAACTACGTAGATGTGCCACCTACCCCCTTACTAATAATGATTTTGACAATGATTGATATAAACAGGTGTTATAGCAATGTCAAAATCATTATTAGTAAGGGGGCTACTATATAATTATTGCTTATTCAATATATACGTTTTTTTAATCTGTGACTATGAATAGTTTCATGTGTTCGATTGTTTTTTCATCACAATGTTTTGTCAGTCAAGTCAAGGCATATTAACTATTTTTTTAATGTTTTTTTTTCGGACTGGCTAAGAAAAAAGTGAATTTCTAATTTTTACAAAGGAATCGTAACGAGGAAACATGGTTACCAAATGAGCATACATACATTTGTTCATTGCACTTTAAAGATCAAGATAAATACAATTCGAAATCGGGGCGAGTTTATTTAAAGAAATGTGCAATTCCATACGATTACAAAAGCGTAAGCTTTCTTGAATAATTTAAGGTCAATTTTTCTTTACTTGGCGAGTATTGTAAACAAACTTTTCATAACTTTTAAAAATAATTCCTCCGAAAAAATACTGTTGGATATGAAAACTTGTGTGATAAATGATACATTACCATAGTAGGTTGTTATCTTTGCATCTATATTATTTTTAAATAAATAATTTCGTTAAAAAGAAATGTCATGATTATTTACAATATTCGCCATGCAACGAAAGACAGACATTGAAGCATAGATTTTGTGCAACACGTATGATTTGGTTAATGTTATTTTTAACTATTTTTTAGCCTCCGCTACCTGGAACTTCTAAACCCGAACAATCAAAATTATTATCAGATCCAATATCAGAACCAGTGAGCGATAGTGAATCCATTTTTGACAATCCACATAATATTGTACTAAAAAAATTTTTTAAAGGAAACAGCTCGAAAGAATCTTACAAAGAATATTAAGAAATTGCAAAGTCAAAATCGGTTTTTAAAGAAATAATGTCAATTTTATAAAATATCGTCATCACATTGTAAGAAAAATTTTGTTTTGATTTGAATACTGAAACTAATTTATTGGCCAAAGCTGAGGCTGTTGAGTTGCATAAAGTTTTTTAAAGAAAAACAGCAGAAAAAACACCAATTACTATCTTCAGCACCGCTGCGTCTATTATTCACCAGCTGCGTACAAGTATGTCAAAGAAACGCATAACAAAACTCTTCCTCATCCAAGAACAATCTGTAGATGGTATAGCACAGTTGACGCGGAGCCTGGATTTACAACAGAATCATTCCGGATACTAAAAAAGAAATGTCAAGCAAATGAAAACCCGGTCGTATGCTCACTGGGGTTCGATGAGATTGCTATAAGACAGCAAAAATTCTTTCATAATAAACACAAACTTGGCGCTGTAAATTTTGGAGCAGGTCCAGTAGAAGGAGAAGAGGGTGTCCTCTACAGTACACAGTAGCAACGCAAGCCTTAGTTTTCATGCTGGTTTCCCTTAGTGAAAGCTGGAAATTGCTGGTGGGTATTTTCTAATAGCCGGTATTACTGCAGAAACTAAAGCTTATTTAATAAACATCTGCTTGGAAAAATGCCACGACGTCGGCGTAACAGTTGCCAGTGTCACATTTGACGGGTGACTTAAAAGCATCTGAGATTTTAGGATTCAATTTTTCTGATGTGAATACTTTGAAGACCTACTTTATTACACCCGAGAACATCAGAAAAAGGAACATCAAAAAAATCCAAGATTCTTCAGGAACAGTTCATTTTTATAGTTATAAACGGCCGAAAATTTCATTTTTATAGTTATAAACGGCCAATAGACAGCAAAAATAAATTTGAAATATTTTCAATGCTAGATGAATTTCAATTAGTGGAAATTCAAATTTCCAACGATTCTTATGTTTTGTTTAGGTTTAGTTTAATTTGGTTTAATTTCTACCATATTTCTACTCATTATTTCGTATTCGTAATAGTTTGTGCCCTTGGAAAGTGTTATTGTTTCAGAAGCGGATTTTAAAAATATTACATACTTAATAAAGTACTGAAATTGAAAACAGAAGTGATAAAAATTTTTTGTGGTAAAGAGCTGGACGGTTGAGAACCTAGTGACGATCCATGGGCAGAACACAAAAGTCACGCTGCCAAATGTGCTTTTGTACAACTTGGGAAGAATGAAGATCATTTATTGCTTTCAGATTTTTATCACTTATCAATGTCTTAACTAACTTATCAAACAAGTGATCAATGAAACTAAAAGAATATCTGAACTCTCTAAAGAGCAAATTGATGAGAAATCTAAGGCTGTCCGAAGAAGATGCTTCATAAGGAAATACAGATATTATATGTGATTATTAATATGCCAATTGACTCAAAGTATCATATATAAGAGAAATGGTACTTGTCAATTTAAACGATTGAAAATAAAAATAATAAAATAAATATAAATAAATAATTTAAAATCATATATAATTCAACTTTAATTATATGTTAAAACACGAAGAATATTGTTAAAGAGAAATCAGGCGCCAAAAAAACCATTATACAAATATCTAATAAAAAGCACTCGAAACAATAATAATAGAGGATTCCTTGGTGCACTTATATGTATCGAATTTTTAAAAACTTTAAATACCACCTTAATTGTGGAAAAAATGCTATAGTAGGTATATATCTACATATCGCCTAAGTCAAGATCATCTAGAGAAAACGCTGAATAATTTGGAACTGCGATCGTCGTTTACTGGAAATTTTCTGTCTTTGGATAATTTCAGTATTCTCCATGCCTCATCTGAAAACATCATCAATAGCACAACCACATCATTCCTCAACGGTGAAATCTCATACAAAATTTTAGAAAAATACGACTTTTGGAAATCGGGAAAAAGCTCACTAAGCTTATATTGTTTAAAGGAACATAATATAATTTTGTTGAAGGAAGTTTAATAATAGTAGTCAAGGATAAATAAATAAATATATTAATTTTACTTTAATGTCTTTTATTTTACGTATACATATAATAATAATAGCGTTTATTAAATCAGAACAATAAGCTCCAGATATCACCTCCTACAAATTCAATAGGCAGAATATAACAAAGTGCCGCCTCTGCGTAGTGTTCGCGCATTCTGTGACTCGGCCGCCTCCTCCCGCGCATCACACTCTGCTGCACGTGGCACACAGATTTTGTTCACGTCGGTCCGTTCTAGTACTTAGTACATTATACTTCAATGCTTGCCACACACTCGCCGAGTGGCATGGGAAGTAGCGAGGGAAGGAGGCAGAGACGTAGTGTGGCCACAATATTCGTCATGCTCCTCGTTATGTCATCGCTCCCTGTTTTGTCGGTTTTTTGGGCGCGAGTCAAAGGACTAGCAATACGAGCGTGAGTGGCCGGCCACATAATCGCGCGAACGCTTTTTGAATCGAACGCACGTTACGGAAGCATCGTTCTATTGCGACGAATAGATGTCATCCACTATCCCCGATGGCGATGGCGATATTTCTTTTTTATGACATTGAATACTATACCTACTAAATATGTATATAGCGCGCATGCTGCCACAGCTTCAACAACCAACAACCATTGTGTTGCAAACGCGAGCGGCCTAGTGCCGAGCTTTGCAATTAATTTTGTGAGTAGAGCAGTGTGTGGGCAGAGAGGGCAATATCGGGGCAGAGCGATGAGCAGCGCGAGGAGCATAGTGTGGCGGAGCCATAGAAAAGTTTTCATTTCAAAAAAGGAATGAGCAACATAGTTTCCTTTAGCATCTAAATAGAATTGGTGGGCAGGACAAGCGGCTTATGTCACGGCTGGCGGTGAGCGAGCGCGCGCGGCTGCTGCACGAGGTGCGGTACGCGATCATGTGCACGGACCTGGCCGCGTACTTCGCTGTGCGCGCGCAGCTCGCCCGCGTCGTTGCCGAGCGTGCCTTCTGCTGGCAGGAGCCCGACCACCGCGCGCTACTCAAGGTCACCAAATTCAAAATTTAATGTTTAGCCTCTCAACTGTCCCGGCCCAAATGGTCGCTTTGGCGCATACTGTCCAACCCTAAACGAGTGATTTATTGCCTACGTGGTTCGTGGCATTAAAATTGCAATATCTTAATAATTATGTGTGGAAACTCTATAAACTAATATGTTAGAATTATTGTGAAGTAAGCTAATAGAATATGTGTAAATGTGTACGTTCTCCTTTTTTTTGATATTTTCTAAATTCCATGGTAAAAATGATAGAAGCGATTTTTTTCCAGGTTAATGAATAAAAAATGTAAAATAAAAACAATTATTTCAGTAAATATTTATTTTATTTACAATAAGATAAATATACTTTACAATAATTAATAAAAAAACACAACTCTGGGTACATATTTTTACACCACAAGCTCGTCAATAATGTGGGCCACTTAAGATGACCCGAAACAGGCACAAAAAAGGCACATTTTGTACTTCAGTAGAGACAATTCCATACCGAGATAAGTAGGTTAATGATATTAAAACAATGTTGTACGAGTTAGCGGGAGATACGTATACATTTACTACTGCTGTTTCGTGTCCGAAGTTTATACTCAGACGCGTACTTTTTTAAAAGCGACCTTTAGGTTTTGGACAGACGAGAGGATAACTATAACTTTTGGCGGGAACTTGACCGTCGGCGGATCACCGCTCTTGTTTTTATTATTATGGGAGATTTTTATTGTTTTCTCATCTGGTTGGAATACATAAATACTTATAAATATATATAAACATTAACATAAATAAAACAGAATGAAATATATATAAAATATAGTTAAATAAATAGGTGAAGACCAACTAGACACAAGCCGTTGGTGGCGGGGGAGACAAAACAGCCGATTGTTAGGGGGAAAGGTAAATACTCTTCGGACGATGCGGACGGTATCGAGGAGCATTGCATTCTGCATTTAAGCCTATAACGGAGTCCCAGTCGGCTCAGATAACCAGAGAGGCTGACAAGGAAGACACAACTACAAGAATAATTTCGATCGGCAGACCACTTCACTTGTCGGCATCCTCCTGAGCCAGGTCCAGATATTTTGATCACTTATCTGTTTCGACTTTCACGAGGTTCTCATCATACGAAATAGTGATGTTGATCAAAAATGGTCTGGTTCATCAGCACAATATCGGGCTTATTCACAAAAAAGTCTTCTCTGTAATAATGGCGCGGCCTCAGTAGAGCCTGAGGCGGTTAACAATACTAAACAAATTAGAAATAACTTGGTAGCGATTACCCTTTTTTTTTTAACATGGGGAAATACCTACGCATACCCGCCTTGCGGGGGCAAGGACGGGTTATGTCGGACTCGCACCGACTAAAACCCCATGGTGTTCCACCTTCGTCGCATATTGGCAGGGCTACGGGAACGGCTTTCGCACACTTCCGCGGCCCTACCAGCGACTGCCGCCCCATGGCAGCACCTCCTCGGTAGAGGAATATTCCTCCCCGTTCTCCTTCCCAGGTAAGGCGCACCAGAACACATGGCACGCCTTCCTCCACGGCCTCCAATTGCATCTGCGCAACAGACGCCCCCGCGTCCGATGCGCGAAGGCCATGGGGCCAGGAAAAACGAGCACTTAGAAGTACTAGCCTTCCCGACCCCAGCGGCGGATCTGGTCTATGGCTCCGCCGCCAACCAAGATTCGGCTGCGGAGGATAGGGAGAGCGGCGCCTCGCAATACCGACAATCCTCTCCCCCCCGCAGCCCCATCACCACCGCATCAACGGTGCGGCCCCGTTTGAGTCGCGGAGGATAGGGCGAGTGGCGCATCGACATACCAACACTCCTCTTCCTCCGCGACTCCACCTCGGCTGCAGCGTTAGAGGGTGCGGAGGCCCCACTCGCTGCAGTCCACCAGCACACATCCGAAGTGGGCTCCCCAAGCCCACTCGGAGTGGCCACCTCAGGCCGGCCCTTCACCTCGGGCCAGCCACGTGGGTTCCTCTTTGTTCACCGTGGGAGACCAAGCCACGGCTACTAAGCCCCCCCGCCACGACAAGGCGGGAACCCGTTCGGGGGGAGCGATTACCCTTCCCAGGGGTTATTACCATAAATTCCTTAATATTATAATAACCCCTTTTATACAAACGTAGTTTAATAAAGTTTTTGAACTTTGTCTATGTATAAAAAGTTATAATGAAACGAACAAGCCCAATAGTTTAAATTGTAATTTAAAAAAAACCTACACCTTACCTTGGCAACTATGGCAAATAACCCAATGTAAGGTATTGACCACTATTGAAATCCTATGTTCATTAGTTCACCATGATAGACGGTATTGAGTGAATGAAATTATCTCTTCTCTCTCTCTCTCTCTCGTCTCCTCGATTCAGTTAGAAAATTTCTTGTGTGAAAGCAGTTTTTTGGGATGATAAAAATGCTATGATTAAAATTAATTTTAGAAAAAATGGTTCTCGAGTGGAAATATCGTACCGTTAGCATCATAATAGTCTGTGCGTACCGGTAAACGAAGTGTAGGGCGACCGCCGCTAGATGGAGTCACTATCTGCTAACAGACGCTGGAAGTCGATGTATGCAGCTGTCACAGGACATCTTAGGAGAGGCCTGGATGGACGTGTGGTTGTAGTAGGCTATGAGAATGATGATAATGATGAATCACCTGTATCTTCATAAAATCATAATAAACTTATAAAAGCTTTTTTTATTCAGGGTATTCTGATGACAACGAGCGACTTATCGGGTTGTTGCAAACCGTTCGGAATCGCCAAGGCAATCACCCAATCTATCTATGAGGAGTTTTATAATCAGGTACCTTAATTGTAAGATATACACATATCTTACCGAGACTGTAAATAAAACGTTTATATTAACGGTTTTTATAAATTTTCACAGGTTTTGCCGCGTTAACTTATTTTATATTCGTGACGTCTCGTGTACTTTACGGTTACGACACCCATAACGGTCACGTTTTATAGTAGCGTTATTCTGGTATTCGGTAAGAGCGTTGTCCTTCCACGGTGGGGCCTAACTAATGTCCTCCAGACTAAATTTGGGTTACGGCAGGCATTCTCAGCAGTGACTAGCCATCTGAGAAGGGCAGGCAATAGACAGACGTGGCAGTGAAGATCGACCCAGTTGTGATGCAGTCATAATAGTTACAACTTGGCTCTCTCATTAAGCGCGATCGATGTTTGCGTTTTATAAGCGATCATATATTAAGATACATAAAAACATCTATAATTTTTTTAACAAGGGCGATCGAGAGCGTGTTATGGGCTACACCCCTCTGAGCATGATGGACAGAAAGCGTAGCATCAATCAGCCGGCGGAACAGATCCAGTTCCTGTCGGTTGTGGTGCTGCCCTGTTTGATGCTGCTCAGCAACATCTTCCCAAACACCAGCCCACTCATAGATAACTGCAGGTAAGTTTCTGCAGAATTAATAGCTTTTTACCAACTAAATAGTTATACATGTAAAAAAGTATTTTAAACAGTTGTGTAATAACGATACTTATAAAATTATTTTTCTTGTCCGTTTAAGTATAATTTGATATTGACGTTGTGATTTTCAAACACATTAATATAAGCATTAGTCAATATATAGTACTGTTTTACCTTAGATTTTTAAAATGAAACTTCTTTATTGATGTAGTGAAACGAAAAAATCGGCCAAAAAAAAATATATCCTAGAGTTTCACTTCGTATATGTGTACACAATTAAACACATTTTTTTTTGACAGCCGAGCACACAGTCCACCTGATGTTAAGTGGATGCTGAGGTCCATAGACATCTACAGTTATCTTCGAATAAGAATCAAAATAAAGAAGTGTTTTCACCCCTGAAGAAAAAGCTGGAATGCCTGGTTTCCAATATAAAGGGTCTCCGTTTCTCTACACTCATTATACGAACACACAGCAGCAGTAAGTTGCTATCTTCCGTTAGTATTCTGTGCGAGTGTGATCCTTCCCCGGTCGAGACGACCTATTCGTGCTACAACCACAATATAACTGTAGTACGGCTCTACCTCGTAAGGAAATGGCACCTTATTATATTTTAAATTGATTAATTTTGCCGTATAGTGAAATTTAAAACCTTTTTATTCAATAAAAAAAGGTTTTAAACTTAGCTTGTATCAGAGGCAAATAGTATAACTCGTCCATATACAAATAATATCGTCTGTAACATAACTATCGTAAGTTTGTAAATCGTTAGGCGGTCAAAAAACAGAATGGTTTTTGTTTTAACATTGACAGAAAGAGAAGGAATAAGAAAGAGATCACAGCTGCCTTGTTTGCTCTGACACGATTTTTTTGTCTTTATAATTGTTTAGTATTCTACAATTTTTCAATTAAAAAAGTGGACTTAAGTCACTTGTACTATAAAATAATATACGATACACGGAACTTAAGTAACCTATTATTAAAAAGTGGTAAAATTAAAAAAATTGTACAACCGACTTAAGACGATCGTATTAATGTATTCGAAGTCAATTAATACATAATATAAACACTCACGCCTGTCACCCAGAGGGGTAGGCAGAGACTATGGACGTCCATTTGGCACGATCCTGACATACCTCTTTCGCCTCCTTTACATCCATATATCTACGCATACATGCTCGTCGGTTAAGGGTACTTCTAACGTGGCCCCTTTTCAAAATATCGCCAATTTGGTCGATAAACTTTTTTCTAGGGCGTCCCTTCTCGACTCGGCCGTTCACATCTGCCACATAAATTTGCTTTGTCACTCTTTCCTCATTCATTCTTTCTACATGACCAAACCACCGAAGCATTCCTTTCTTAATCCTGGTCACAACATCATCTTGCATACCACATTTATCTCTTATCACGCAATTTCTCGCCCTGTCATTCAGATTCAACCCTAGCATACTCCTTAAAGACCGCATTTCCACAGCATTTATTCTACTTTCGTGCTTCTTCTGCTACATCCAGCTTTCACTACCATACATTAAAGTAGGGACTAACACAGCATTATGAATTACCATACGTGCCTTTTTTGACACATTCTGGTTCTTCATAATAGAGTGTAGTGCCCCATTCACTCTATTCCCTGCATTTACTCGTCGTTCTATATCCCTATCATATCTACCATCCCTGCTAAATACACATCCCAAATACACAAACTCATCCACTTGCTCAATTAACTCTCCTTCTATTCTTATTTCACATACCGTTTTTCTTTCTTCTCTTTCAAAAACCATCACTTTCGTCTTACTTGCGTTCACTTTCATTCCCCCTTTCTTTTAATTCCCAGTTCATTAATGTAACCATCATTTGCAACTCAGCCGCCTATGACGCAAATATGACTTGATCATCGGCGTACAAAAGGCATTTGACGGTTAACTCACTCATTCTTAATCCGCATTCGTCAACTTTCAAATTTTGCAAACAACTGTCCATAAATAGGTTGAACAGCCACGGGGAAGACACCATCTATCTGACACCTTTATGGATGCCAAACCAGTCCGAGTAGACCCTATTGATCCTGACACAAGCACTAGAGTCCCTATAAAGAGACCTTAATGCCTGTATCAAACCAGCGCTCAACCCATATGAGTTCAGTGTTTGCCATAACACATTCCTGTCCACTCTGTCATAAGCCTTTTCCAAGTCCATGAACGCACAAAAAACTTTCTGGTTTTTTGGCCAAAAACTTCTCCGCAATCATGCGCATGGAAAAGATTCATCTAAATGGAAATCTAGATGGAAAAGAATCAATTAAATAAGCATTATTTAACGATAACTCAAAAACTACTGGGCAGATCTTGATCAAATTTATATGGGACCACAGAGAAGCACCAGCTTCCAGATAAAAAAAGAATCATCAAAATCGGTTCATCCAGAGAAAAGTTCTGTGGTAACACACATAAAAAAACATACAGTCGAATTGAATACCTCCTCTTTTTTGATCGTAAAAAGTCGGTAAAAAGTAAATCGGTTCAATAATCGGCTACTTAAGTCCCGTGTATCGTAATGTACTATTATATCGTAGGAAAACTCAAGAGGGCTGGCATGAGGAGATAGAAATGCGAGGAATGAAGTTGTGGAGACAAGAGGACTCCATACCTTCAAACAGAACCGGCGCCTTGCTCAATTCCGATTCCAAGTCAGGAGAAATTAGTTGAACATTAGCTGCGACTGATTCGCAACTGTAAAATAACGAGCATTTTTGGTTTTATCTAAAAGAAAAAAAATATGAATAAAAGTGAAATAAAAAATAAATTGGTTTCATTATTTTTTACAGAATAAAGGTGACAAATGAGCCCACAATCCACCTGATAGTAAGTGAATACTGAAGCCCAAGACATCTACATCTACGAGTATAATTAATTAGGAATCAAAATGCAGATGCGTTGTCGCCCCTGAGGACTAAGATGGAATGCCTCGTTTCCAGTAATAAGAATCCAGTGCTCTACGCTCTTCTCTCTTTTACACTGGAATTCCATGTGAACGTGGTTCTTCGTTCTTTCCCAGTATAGCTGACCCATTCGTGCTACAACTATACAGGGTTATTTTTCAAAGAGTAGAATTTTTTTAAACTTAAGGTCAAATAAATAAATAATGATATACCGTTATTGCAGTTTATGAAAATAAGAGTAAATAAAGCTGCTACATTTATTTGAAATTATCCCAGATTGAATGTGGTTTATGTTTATGGGAAACAACATTTTTGCCTATCGATCGACCTTTACAAATGTGTGCGTGCGAAGTGATATCAGTTAAAATAATGCATTATCACGCATTTTTTGCAATTTAAAAGATAAAAAGGACGGAATGTTTGAGACTTTTTTAATACATTTTTTTCACCACTTGTCTATATTACTTATTCTGAACCTGCTCTGCATATTTGGCCGGTTATTGCAAAATAACCCGGTATAGCTGTAGCATAGCTTTACGACGTATAAAAGATGAGAAAGTCTGTGTCTGTATACATAATAATTTTTAGGCTGTATCTTTTTTGATCTATTTCTGCTATTTTTTATTTAAATAGCTCACGATTACCACCCAAAACGGTAGGAACACGTAGTGCCTATTGACACCATGCTGACGCACCTTCCTAGCCTACTTTACATCCATTAAAAATCTCCGCATACATGCTTGTCGGTTATAGGTACTTTTAATTTCACCCATATTCAATACTAGCTGATACTTGCTCGCTTCGCTAGACGCACGATAATAGTTTATTGGGGAACTTAGACGTGAAATATGAAGATTTTTTTGTATGGGACATTACATCCATACTCATATATCCACGCACACATGGTCGTCAATTAAGGGTACTCCTAATCTGGCTCATTTTCAATATATCGCCAGTTTGGTCGATAAATCTTCGTCTAGGGCATCACTTCCCGACTCTGCCATTCACATCTGTAATATAAATTAACTTTGCCACTCTATCCTCCTTCATTCTTTCTAATGACCAAACCACAGAATCATTCGTTCCTTAATCCTGGTCACAACATCATCTTGCAAACTACACTTTTCTCTTATCCCGCAATTTCTCACCCTGTCTTTCAGATTCAGCCCTAGCATACTCCTTAATACCACATTTCTACAGCACTTATCACATCTATTCTCGTGCTTCATCAGCCACACTCAACTTTGACTTAAAATTAAGATAATTCTGAAATACTTTAAAAGTTGAAGATGCATTAATAGTAGCTCCACTACTATCGTAGTGGCGTTAAACATATAAGTATTTGCACATGGATTTGTGTTCCACATTTTACTCACCATATTGCTATGCATCAATGTAATATATTATATGCATGCATGTATATATATAGCATCTTGGCAGCACGAATGGATTGGATTGACCAGGGAACGACAGTTATTAGTGTAAAACGTTTTGTTGGAAACGAGGCATTTCAGATTTTTCTTCAGGGGTGATAACACATCTTCATTTTGATTCTTATTCGAAGATAACTGTAGATGTCTATAGAACAATTAACATAAATGCTAGCAGTTTTTAATTAAATAGACTTCTTTAAATAATTTTTATTTAATGAAAGAATAAAATAAACAAAATTTAAAAAAATAACTTTTATTACTTGTTAATAAAAAAAATTTGTTTACTTTTATTTATAACTTGTTAGTATTATGATTCAGGATTTACTACGGCGTAGTTCGTAGCGCGTAGCGGCGTTTTTCCATAGTCATAGTACGTGTATACACATAAGGTGATATTTTGAGGACTTAGTGTTATGTCATTTATATTTTGTTTAAACAACTTGAACTGAAAATGAAAATTAACAATCTAATCACTTTAAATTTTACACACCGAATATGACGGTAAGACATGTTGACACCGATAACACTAACACCCAAGAACATATCTCTGCCCATGCATTGTATATCTCACACATGTTTGAGTAAATAAAAATATCTTATCTTATCTTATCTATCTTATCTTTAATTAGTAGGATGGTAAATTACAGTAAAATCATATTCAAATTAGTTATGTAATTACATAACTAATTTGAATATGATTTTACTTACAGTAATTACTGGTTAATTATTTGTAACGTTTCTCATTCTATCCATTTCGTTTAATACATCAATATTACAAAGTCAACCTGGAGGATTCTAATTCTTCGATTTGAAGACCTGCTAAAGACCTAACTCGACTTAAAGCCGCGTAAGCTTGAAGCACGCTTCAAGATGTAGCCAATGTTGTCAGTGACAGCTCTGACATATAACAGTACAGTAGGCACACGCTCGACGGTGACCGGCTTCACTCGTTCACTGTGATGTAGACGCGGAACCCAAAGGATGGTGGTGAGAATCACCGTTTAAATATCTATCTGTATGGGTATTTTATCTATACACAGTGTGGCTCGAGATGTTACCAGGATTCCGAGCCTTCGTGATGTTTCAGCGTACCCTCCTCCCCCCTCCTAGCATCACGTGTATCTTTTATTATTGAAAAGTGCTTTCTTGAATCTGTTATAATTATAAAAAAATTACATATAGTAAAATCATAAATAAGTATTAATAATTATGAGAATTGACACGAAAAAAATACACGGAACATCTCCCCCTCATCGTGATGTTAGGATGAAACCTAGGCCGGCATCTATAACTCGAAGAACAGACAACATGGGGAAGGAAGTTTTTGGAGTCACAACCTCGTACTAAATATAAATGCACCGTTGGGGATTGTTGGTATAGGGAAAGGCGATTTGAAGTAAAATGCAGGGAGGGGCTGCAGGTGGCTCACGACCGTGTTTTGTTAATTAATTTTTCGATCCATGGGGGAAGCCTATATCCAGCAATTGGACATTGGTCTGAAATGATGATTGTGAACTTGATAGGTAATTATATTACGGTAATGAGTCATGTGATGAATTCAAAGCAGGACCCTTAGTTTCATAGTACTCGAAAAGCGAGTTTCCTCTGCCGTTACCGATATCGTTACGACCTGTCAAACTTCTGAACAGTGTCGGCTTCCCCCATAGGAGCGATATTTGCTATTGTTGCCACTCTGGGCCGGCGGGTTTGCAGCCGCAATTTTTTATTTACTGCAGACGAAAATGAGGGGAGTTATATGTTTAACATGTGTACCTTGTGTGTGGCATCGTAGCTCCCAAAATTCATGCAAACGAGCATGCGGCTCACCTGATGGTAAGTGACTACCGCCGCTATGTTTATAGCATTCTATGACCGCCGGCAATAAACAACCGCAACACCAGGGGAATTTCAGGTGCGTTTGCCGGCCTTTTAGAAAGGAGTACCTAAGCTCTGTTTTTGAAGGATGAGCTAAGTAATTTAGGTTTTCTTTTTCTTCTTAGTTACGATTCAAGAAAATCTTTTTAGACGATTGATGATTTTCAGCTGTTTTTGTTTGAAGAGTTTTTAAAAAAATTAATTTTAGTTATTTTTCAGTTGTACAGACTGTTGCCCATATCTTGGTTTGTTTCCCTCTGTCGCCTCTTACAACAACCACGGGACGATACGGGGTAGTTGATAGATATTCTTACACCCCCACTAGGCGGTCGGTTTCCCCCTATAGTTCTACTGAGTTTGTTAGTGAAAAATACAATGAAGGTTAGACCAAATATTTTTAAACATATATGTCTAAAAATAATATTTAGTGTACATGTAACAAACCTACACTAGAGAAACGTGTGGGATTCTTTTTAACCGTCTTAAAAAAGGGGAAGGTCGGTTCGACTGTTCATTTTTCAATGTATGTTATGAAATTATCTTCGATTTCTGCAATTCTTTCTATTTGACTGCTCTTTGTCGCAATGACTTAGCAATGAGTTGCAGCGCTAAGGGCCGCGGGTTAGAATACCGCACGGAACGAATGTATGGCCTACAAATAATTGTTTCGGGTCTGGATGTTTATTCTTGTGAAAAGATGTGTTTCCCAATAATTACTTAGCTAGATATTACTTAGCGCATTGTCGTAATAATAATCAAGCGACAAACTAAATCAACCGAACAGTATTTTTTTAAACATAAATGTGTGCAGCCGGGGCGGGTTGCTAGTAATATTATAATTGTGAAAGTTTGTTTCATACGCTTTCACGCAAAAACTACTGTATGGATTTGGATGAAATTGTGTGCCATCGTTTCATTCCGATAAAAGGATGCCGTGGGATAATTTTCAATGTTGGTCTATACCAGGCGAATGAAGTCGCGGGCGAAAGTTGGTAAAAATAAACAGTGACAAAGTAGATTACAGTTAATATCTAATATTGGTACTTAGACAATAAAACGAAGTAGGTGATTTTATTTTAATCATGTTTATGTTCTGGAGGTGCGAGAAATTGTTGTGATATCAGTTCGAGTCACTCGAGGTTTGTTGGTCAAGGGCCAAAAAGTTAAAAGTCGAATTCTTTTTATTCAATTAGGATAATATATGTATAATTTTTTCGAACGTCATCGTTATGGAGGCTGAGGGGCCCCTTGAGCTCGAGGGCCCCGGGGCACTGCCCCGCCTAGCCCCAAGGTAGCTACGCCACTGGGCTGTAGCATGAATGGGAAGAACAGTGCTCTCACAGAATACCGGCTTAAAATAGCAGCTTAACAGTGTTGTTTCGTATTGTGAGCGTAGAGAACCGGATGTCCAAATTGATGGAAAACATTCCATATTATTCCTCAAGGGTGACAATGCTGC